ATGTCACAGGGCTGGGAGGAGATCAATGTTCACAACACAAACACGGCCATGGATGCAGGCCTGAGCCCTGATGATGTTATACTTTCTTCCCTTTGCCATCTTACAGTAAATTAACGCAGGAAATAGAAGTATGTTATTACTTCTTGGGCAATGGTGCATCAGCGCTTCATCCGCAAGAAAGCAGTGATCATTTCAACAAATGAAACCAATGGACCTCGACTGACTGGCGACCTGTTCAATGAGTACCCCGCCTCTCGGCTGTAGTCAGCTGAGATAGGCTCCAGTTCACCTGCAACCGTAATGAGGACACGGGAAATGGATGGATGGATGGACAGAAAAAAAGAGAACATACTTGTGGCACCTGGACAAATCTGCGCATGAGCCTAAAATCACAAATGTAGTAGGAAATGTTGTCACAGCTGACTATGGGTGAGCAGTGTGGTACACTCTGGGCTGGTCGTCACAGGCAGCCACTCCCACTCACATACAGACCTAGAGCGGAGATAAAAAGTCTACACACCTTTGTATAAATATCAGGTGTTTGTGATTAAAAAAAAAAAAAAGATCCTACCATGAGGTTCATCTTTTACGAGAGGGAAAGTAAAAAAAAAATAACTGAAATAATGTGGTTGCACAAAGTGTACACAGCCGCTTATAACTGGAATGTGGCTTTGTTTCGAATTAACTCATCACGTTTAGATATAAGACAATTGACAGTTCACCATGATTTTAAAAAGTCATGGTTTCACTTGTCACCGGTAATGAGCTTTTCAATATTTTTTTTGTTGTTGTTGTTTTTTTTAGGAGACTTGTAAGCAACTGATATTATTAGATTTATTCACAAGATGTCGATATTCCAATATATGCTGTGGCATACTGCAGCTCAGTGAAGGAGGGCGTGAGGCGTTGCTTCAGGTCGTTCCTGTGCAGTGGCAGCCACACAATTTTGAATGCAGGAAAAACCCTGAAGCATGTTAATATATTTTAAAAATAAATTGCCTTTGATAAGTCCAAATATAACAACTTCTTTGCAGACTGAAATGCTTTTCTTGTGTACAAAACCTTGCAAGTTAGGGTCGCTGAAGAGAAGTAAAATGCCTTCAGTGTTATTACACTTCAATTTGTGTTTTCTGACGAAAAGGCAAGATTAGCTGAAGAATGGCACAGCGAAACAAAATTGCCAGCCTCATTATAGACAATTCCAAAAACGTGTACGTATATTACGCTGTTTGACGATTGAATTACCTTAAACAAGTATGTTTAGTTCATTGAAGACTGCCTTAATTTTTTACAAAACCAGGTTCACTGAGGACTCAATTGCCTCTAATGTTTACCAGAACTCTGAGTCGGAGGCTCGGGTAATTGAGGACTAAAATGTTATGGAGCACCACTCAGTGTCACCATTGAAAACGCTTAGGTTGTTAAGTGCAAAAACAAGCTGCTTCATCGTCACCGACGTTAATGCTAGATCTAACTAGGGATTAATCAATCACAATAAGCTCTAATGTGCTCTCGCTCTATCCGTCTTTTACAATGCAGAATTTGCCATTTCGACACCCCCATCCCACTCTCATAAAATGTCCAAATGTCACGGCGTTGACTTGCCAGGAGCTGACACGCTGTGTCTATTCAAGCCTGCCCCAGTACACACCCCTGCAGGATACTACCTTGGTTGGAGCGACTCTGCCTTTGACACGACGCACACCCAACCCCCCGCAGGTGGGCAAAGAGGAGGTGAGGTGCTGTGTTCAAACTGTCAGATATATCGATTTACTATGAGAAGGCCAGGGAAGGCGAGAGCGGGGCATTAAGGGCCCGGCGCCTCGGCGTATAGGTAATAGTTTACAGCAGGCCCGTGTCCGTTGAGGCTCGGCATACAAATACACACGAGAAGACTCCCGGGGAGATGCGCAGTAGTTATGGGTAAGTTGACATGGAGAAAAAGAGAGTGGAATTGTCTGTGTTATCGCTGGAGAGTGTTTGAAGACAGAAAGCAATAGGGGGGGAAAAAAAAAACCTCAGTGGATGCTGCAGTCTCGCACAGTGTGAGCGCAGGTGTGTTGGTTGTGTGTTGTGTTCAACAGCGGAGTTTCATGAAATATGCATGAAGCATGTTTGAACCCTGCACACCAGCCCAACCCCCCTACTTTACAGACCAGCATCTTCGCAAGAACCTTGGAATCCACAAGAGCGTTCAAAACACTTTAATTTCAGTGGGGTATATTCTGTACATACGGGGGATGTTCGTTACCACCTATTGTCGGACCAATACCAGTACAAGTGTTCGCTCTTTGAGTACTCACTTATACAGAGAACCGGTACCTCAATTACGTTTTGACATTGGACATTTCAGTAAACAGAATGACAAAATATTGTGGACAAAACCATTTTCTGACACAGAGAAACAATTACTGGCAAGAAGGTCTTACTCGAGGTCAGATATTTTTATTTATTTATTTTTTTTTGGCTTAAGTATCGGTGGCAGGTATCAGCAACCTCCACAGTACCCACTACTTAAAAATAAGGCCCGATAACAATGGCTGGTATCGGTAGTCACCCATGCCTAGTATATAGGGACAAAAGGCCAAAATGCTTCGGGAATTATCGACGTACAGTGGTATGAAAAACCTTTGTTTACATAATTATTGCACACGTTCTGTAAATCCTATAATCCCACTTCTCAAATATCACTGTGTTTTTCTGCTATATGATTGACTGGGATCGCTGATCCGAGCAACCAATGACTTATAAAGGAAAATCTTGAAAACAAACTGCGATGCAATTTCATATGGACATGGAGCAGGTGGAGGCAGGACTCACGGGAAGAAGTCGAGGAAAATTTTTGTGTGAAATCATCGGCCATCACTTCTGCATTACTTCCCTAAAAGCAGCTTCTGTATGCAGGTGAACCAGTGTCCCAGTTTGAGTGTTAAAATAGCCCCGATCCACAAACCCTCTCGAAACTACTCTGCATTTCAAGTCATGTCCTGAACGCGGGTGTTGGTAAAATATTCACTTTTTAAAATTATTTAATAACTGGGAGGGAGTGGCAAGGTGGGCGACTGGTTAGCCCGTCCGCCTCACACTGCAGAGGTGCAGGCTTCAATTCCGGCTCCGGCCTTCCTCTGTGGAGTTTGCATGTTCTCCCCGTGCCTGTGTGGGTTTTCTCTGGGTACTGCGGTTTCCTCCACATTCCCAAAAAAATGCATGGCAGCTTAATGGAACACTCTAAATTATCCCTACGTGTGATTATGAGTGTGAATCGTTTGTCTATGTATGTCTTGAGATTGGCTGGCAAACAGTTCAGGGTGTAGAAAATGGATGGATGGATAATAACTGGGGCAATATGTGGAATTTTGGGGCACTTGTTAGCTCCTGAGGTATGTCTGTATGTGTGTGTCAATTTGGCTTTTAAGTTACTGCAACTTTGTAATTAAGAATCCATTTGCAGCTGCGCTAATGAACAACAAACTCCTTCAAGCAGAACAAACAAGCTCAAAACAAACTTGCATACAAACACAGTCTCACCAGGAGACCAGTCCATCTGTTTGTTGAGGGAATCTTTTTCCGGTTTGGTTTTTTTCGCAGACACACACACACACACACACACACACACACACACACACCAGTGAGAATGCAGACATGACATCATATTTTTCAGTCTCTGCAAAAGGTTTGTACTAAATGCATGACTGGAGCTGTGCACGCACTGTGGTGTGTCTGGGTCCTGGTCTATCATTTCAATGTAAAGGCACCTTTTATTTGCATTCGTCTCAGCCTTCTGTTGTGACTGTTTATCTTCAACACCTCTGTCTTTTGTTTGGCTGCCATGCCCTGTGAGCACTGTTTAATTTCCAAACCGTCTCCCTCGGGAAGCGCAAGAGGTGAGGAGGGATGGAGGGAGATGTAGACAGGGGAGGACGCGGCCAAAGACACTTCATTTATCAATCAACCAGCTTTGAAAATTTACCTAATTAAGGGCTAATTAAGGTTCTGGGCGGCAAGCCAGCTGGTGCCCTGATGCGCCCATGTCGACGCGACCCTCGTGCCGCTGCAGATGACACTGAATATAAACACCCCTCCCTTCCTTCCTCCCTCTCTCCCTTGCCCCTGCTGCGTTATTAATCCGGTGCAGCAGATATGGCTCACAAGGCTCCTGTCACGGCATTTGTCTTTTTCTTACCGGGAAAAGGTCGGTGGTCCTTACGGTGTCATCGGGACTCTGGCTTCTTCCGTTCCTGTCATGTTCCTGCCAATTCCCTCGGCGTGACACGCTGGCGCGCCAGGCACGCTGGATGCTGGAAAGCGAAGGAAGTTTGAGTGATGGCGAAGCAAATAAATTCACCTGAACTCACACAAGATGATAAGGGGTGGAAAGCCTACATCTAATGAGAACCATTGCAAGATCGGTATCAAATTAGAAAAACCTCCAAACGACAATAGACAATTATAAATCGAAGAACCCAAAGTTAGTTTTTGACTGTCTGTGAGGATGTGAATGTGGAAATGCGGAGTTTTGATTTGCGATTGGGTGACAAATCCAAGGGCAAGCGCACAAACCCGTTGAACCAGATCTTATTGTTATTGCTTGTTATCCGGTTGTTGCACACACAAAATCTGTGACTTTCAATATGTGTGGCACAAGGGAAGCCGTAACTCCAAAGTGGCCCGCGACAAAAAATGGGTTTGACTCCCTGCGTTACATGATCGGGATTCTGGAGCCGATCATCGTTTAAAAAAAAAAAATAAAGAGAAAAAAAATCTGATCAGAAAATGGATCAATCGATCCAAACTTTATACACCACGTACCACCTTAAAAAATATTCAGCTCTCTGAGCACCTTAATGACCAACGTTAAGGTACAGTTGTGTAGTGCTCATCAAAAATGAGACGGAGGTTTTATTCCGAAAAAGTATCTTCAATACCATTGGAAGTCACTGTAACATGATGCATTCACACTGCGCTTAAATAGAGGAAAGATAAAATAACTGTTCTGAAATAACGATTCAATTCAAATGCATCGCAAAGAAATGTTGACAATTGCAATAAGAAACTGTTTTCCAAGATTAAATGTAAACTTAAAAGTTAAATACAACTGAATTGTGCTGTCATTTTTGTGCCTTCCCGTGGATGTTGTCACAGCGCAGCATTTCTCTTCCTTGAGTGTGGATTTCTTCATTTTCCTTCTGAACTTGATCTATTTTGCGCCTGTAGAACGTTTTTCAGCCTGCCCTAACCTCTTCCCACTCTTCAGGGCGCACACCTCCGAAAGACTTCCTCTCACTCTCCACTTTCTGTTCATCCACCAAGTGGCCCCGACACCGAGGGTCACCGTGGGGTGTCGCATCAATTGCCCGATGGAGAAACACAATTCACCTCCGCTAGAGCGGAGAGACAGCTGAAGCAAATGGAACAAATTGAATCAAGAAGCAGAAAGCTCACTAAACCACTACCTTTGCCCTTTTCTTGCCTCCAACCCCATTTTTGCCACTTTTCCTCTTGTCTCCATTCCCTTTTGAGACACCGCTTTCCCTGGAAGTCGGTCTCGGCCCTCTGCGTGGCAATCATATTAACTCTACACAGAAACAATGGCTTTCGTTTTCTAATCTCCACTTTCATGGAAGGAAAAGCCGCAGGCGAGAGCCGTTTTCACCCCGTTCCACTTCGCAAAGCGGCAACTCTCAACAAGGGGGAGCCTTGACTAAATCTGAACAGCAGCTGGGAGGCAATGAGCGCACCGGTCATGTGCAAGGTGAAAGTGACCAAATAATGAGAAGAACGGGCTTTTGGTAAGTCAAGCAATCACACAGGTGAGACTCACACAATAGCCTTGATTTCCAAGTGTGGCTGCTGTTGCCCGCGGCGATGAAGCCTGTTGTCTGCCTCCACCTCGCCCCTCTGGAGGTGCCTGAGGATGAGCAAGGATGAAAAAGAGACAGGGGAGAGATGAGCCAGGGGTGGGATTTCAAGACACTGTTCGGGTTTCTAATTAGGGTTACAAGCCAGTGTTTTGGATTTAAAGTCGAGTTGTAAGCCTCGAATAGAGTTTGAAGATCAGAGTAGGGCTTCAAAGGTCAGATAAAGGTTTCAAAATTTGTGTTTCAAACTTAGGTTAGAGCATTGGTCACCTACATGAGGCCCCTGGGCCCCCAAGGACCACATGAGTAGCTGGCGGGCCACTTCTAAAAATAGCTCAACAATGATGTGACAATTGTGATTTCCTAGTAATGTTGATCATTATACAATTAAAATTAAAATTCTCATTACTATGAGAAAACATTAACATGATTAGTGTGTTCACATAAACGAATAGCATTAATTGCTAATCATAACATATAATAATAACCAGGCCCCGCCCCAATTTCAATATATGCCTTATAACAATTAAGATATTTTTCCCCCAAAAAATTCCCTTAACCGACTAATAAGCCAATACATTCAAAAATACATATATGTATCATGGATAAAGTAATTTCCTTTTTTTTTCTTTACATATGAATTACAAACATTTACAATACTTTGTCCATTGGTACTTGTTTAACTATCAGACAACAAAGAGGATATTTGACAAAATTTGGCAGATTATTTCTTTCTTTAGGGACAGGGGTTTGGAACGTCATTACCTTTCATTTTTATTTCATTGCATTTTTTTTAAATTTTAGTTTTTGTTGATGATAATCACCTTAGTTCCAAGGCAGGGTTATGGTTTCAAAGAAGGGGGTTCAACCCAGGTTTGGGTTTTCAGTAGAGGCTGAAGACAGGGTTAGGGTTTTAAATTAGGTGACTAAGCCTATGGTTGGGCATCAACGTATGGTTAGCGTTTGAAATCAAGGTTTTGTGACAGGGTTATGGTTTCTGATTAGGGTTTCAAGCCTGGGTTATGGTATTGAAAAAGGGATTCGATACAGGGTTAGGATTTCAAATTCAGGTTTCAAGCCTGGGTTGGGTTTCCAAATTATGATGAGAGTTAAAAGTGACAGATTCAAATCTGGACTAACTTTTAAAATTAAGGTTTCAAGACAGTGTGAAGGGTGAAATTAGGGATTCAGGCCTGGGTGTGGGTTTCGAAAAGATGTTAAGGTTTTAAATTAGATTTTCAAGCCGAGGTTAGAGTTTCAAGTGAGTCTTTCAGGTCAGGGTTACAGTTTTAAAGAAAGGGCATTTCATGTCAGGGTTGGGCTTTCAAACTGGTGCTTCTAGATAGAGTTAGCATTTCAAATTCGGGTTTCAAGACTGAGTTGGGGCTCCAAACAAGGGTCTGGGTTACAAATTAGGGTTTCCAAGAAGGGTCATAGTTTCAGATGAGGATGTCAATACTGAGTTTTGTTTCAAATGAAGCATAGGGTTTCAATACCGAGTTCCAACTCTGTTAGGATTTCAAAGGACCGTTTGTGCTACATATTACAAATATGTAAAAAAAAACCAGGAGGTCGAATTTCCCCTGCGGCATCGGAGGTGTTTGACCTTTGAGGTATACTATCGGTTGTTTGGAAATTTGCGTCAATATTGCGGTATGTGCCGTCTTACCTCTCCACCTTGGGAGCCGTTTGCCCTCCACTGTGATTGCAATAGCGATGATAGCGCTTCACTTCATCCTGCACGGAGTAAGAGCAAAACATATCAGTCAAAAACAAGTGCAAACACGACAAAGCAGGAAAGTGTTTCTTTCTATGAAGGAGTTTGGTGGTGATCCAAAAGAGCCTTTTCAACCCTGGCAGGGGTTAGCAGTCTAATGAGAGTCATTCTGGTTTACCATATCGCTCTCTAAGCTGTTTATTGGTCACAAGACTGTATTTCTCGATCTGTTCTCATGAATGTAAATAACGTAAGAGTCCAGCTAGAGGCTGATTGTGCATTAATGTGTGCGCATGCGCATTTGTGTGTGCGTGCGTGCCGATCAGCCAAACAGAGGCAGCAGAACAAGGGTGTCGTGCTGCCACTGAGCTCATAGCGACTATGCAGAGGGAACCAAATGAGCAATGCGACTTGATCCGGCATTTTCCTGCTCGCCATCAAGCGGTGCCTTGAGATGCGTGTTTAATTCATTCTTTGACTGTGCTTGAAACCAAAATCAAAATAAATCAAGAATCTTTTCAAATTACATAAATCGAAATGCTATCAATCCGTTTCTACTTGAGCTGGGCGATGTATAAATATAGTCTAATTGGGATTTTTTTTCCCCTGCCCCTCAACATTGCAATTGAAATTTAATCTGTGATTATTTTTTTCAAGGCTGTCCTCCCATGTTTTTTATTTACACTGACTTGCAGTCCTTTAAGCATTCACTTCAAAAAATTCTACCTAACGTGTGGCATAAACATAAATCAGACAGGCTTTATCATTTCAATTGTTCATGTTTCATGAACTATAAGGCACACCTAAAAGCATTCAATTTTCTCTAAAGCCGACAGTGTGCCTTGTATCTGGATCAATATTCTAATTTTAGTATTGAGGATATATTTATTATATTCAAAGTTGTTTCAAGCACTTTGTTACAGCTGCAGCGGTTGTAAAAGCTCGATATAAATAAAGGTGGATTGTATTCCCTTTAGCTCGTCTAGTGGATGCATAACACAAACGCAGCTACTATTGTAGCTTCTATTCTATGCACCTTATAATGTGGTGCACCCAAGATATGAAAACAATTTTAAAATAGGCCATTCATTGACAGTGCACCTTATACTTCAAAGTGCCTTATAGTGCGAAAAATACAGTAATTGTTCAGCCCGAGTTCATACCTTCTCCGCCCCCCCAAACTCCCCCTCCCCCAAAAATGTGAGTAATGTATTCTAAATAAGGAAAGCATTGTATAACACTGTGCTTTATAAAATGTTACTGTCATAAAAAAATTTAAATGAAGAAATGTAAATTAACGATGATGCACAAACTCATTTCTATCCATCATGATTAATTAATTGTGCCTACTTCTGGTGCGTTTGATTTGGCCACCGGGTGGCAGTATAATACAGTAATGCAGACAAAAAAAGAAGCGTTTGACTTAAATACTGTAATTGACGTAGTAATCTACAGTAATGTTTACGTTTATAGCAGCAATTCTTCCTTTCATTATAACGCAGCCACATGGATGCTATTTGTTTGCCCGCCAGTGGCTAAGATATCAGACTTTGAAGCAAAGTTATATTGTTGTTTGAAATACAGAAGTAATTGCCTTTGTTATAGGTTTAGTTTGACACTACACTTTAACAGGGAGTAAAATTTAACAGCTTGAAGCCTGTTTTGGGAGATCTGTTCATAGTACCAAACTGCTGCTTGTTAAGTGGGCTGGAGTCAGCTGGGAAATGCTCCATCACACCTAAGACCTTAATGAGAATACCGTTCTGAATATTGTAACCAGTGAATTTATATTATGGAACTGAACATCTGCAGTGGGAATGAGTGCAACTGTTTAAAAACAACAACAAAAAGAAACCCAATTAAAAAAAAAAATTGAACTCAAAACTACATGAACAAAAAAAAAAAAAACGTTTTCTCGAGCCAGATGTTCAATTAAACATCGGCGTCCATGATAAATTGTCAAAAGTTGGCTCTTATTTTCATCTGAATAGAGATTTATCTCATCCAACATCATTCATTACGAATTCAGCGTGCCACTACTACATCTTCATGACAAGATAATGGAATTTTTAATTTGGACGGCAATATTTCAAAAGTGAACTATCACATATTAAAAGTTACATCGGAGGCAGAGTCGCTCGTCTTATTTTGCAGATGCCTTCATGATTGTCCTGCGGCATCTGAGTGTTTACAACCGGCCATAAAGCACGGGTCACCGCAGAGGATGAAAAACACTTCAAAGTTGAACGTGAGCAAAAAGGAGCGAGGTGGCTGAGGCTGATGACAGGAGAACCGCAATAGTTCAAATCGATAGAATGACTGCATGGAACATCGATATGAACGCCACATTACCCTGCTAGGAGGATGCGTGGCAACAACAAAATCACATTATTTTCAAATTCTAAAAAAAAAAAAAAAAAAAAAAAGGCGATCGATACGCTTTGCGGCACGGATAGTACTTCGCTGATGAAAAATTAGTGGATGCATTCCTAAAATCATTTGTAGGAGTACTTGTGTTATTCACATTCATGACTACAAATCCATGCGTATATTCTTCCACGAACATGCACCTGGCTTCATGGTAACACACACGGCCAGGTCAGCATGTACACACACACACACACACACACACACACACACACACACACACACACACACACACACACACACACACACACACACACACACACACACACAACATTCAACATTCAACACGCACATCAATCTCCCTCCGTTGGACTGGCAGTGTGAAACATCTGCATCGGTCTAATATCTGGTGAGCTGCAGCTGGAAACACAAGGAAGTGAGTGATGAGGCGAAGCCGCAACTGTCGAGATGCACATTGAACCTGAATTAGCGAAAATCAATTTCCTTTAAAAGGAACATATTACCAAAAAAAAAAAAAAAATTGACTTTTTAATTGCTTGAAAACAATAAGTTGGGTCTGTCAACTGTGGAATTAAACAGCCACGTAAATGTTTTATTTGCCTATTACATTTCTTTAAAAAAAATGTTTTTCTGGTCTTTATGGGCAATTAGGTTTTTTTTTCACACTGAGCTCCGCTTCAGGAAGTCAAAGCATGCAGTCAATTGTAGCGCACACTAGCCAGGTAGATGAAGTGACAAGAGTCAGCCCTCCAAGTAACGCATTAGAGATGTGCAAACGCCTGCTGGAGTGCACACACTTGCCAGTGACATCTGCACTGACCGGTTAGATACCAACCATTGTTATGCATCCACTGGCTAGCAGTGGCGTTTTCTGCTGTGTTCAATACATGCAGCCACATTGGAGGGGTGGCACATTCCGCTACGCCCGTCTCCACCAAAGGCTTCGTGGAATGCTTTTTTTATTGGCAGTGTTAATATACATCATCGGCATTTGTATCGAAAATTTGTGCCCCCTTGTGGAGACGTTATTATGTTGCTCAAAGATCGGCGACACAGTGATCGACTGCTTAGCACGTCCGCCTCACAGTGAGGAAATGCAGGGTTCGATTCCAGCTCCGGCCTTTCTGTGTGGAGTTTGGATGTTCTGCTCGTGACTCTGTGGGTTTTCTCTGGGTACTCCTCCCACATTCCAAAACTGTGCATGGCAGGTTAACGGAGCACTCTAAATTCTCCCTAGGTGTGATTGCGAGCGCGAACGGTTGTTCGTCTGTGTGTGCCTTGCGATTGGCTGGCAACCTCCAGCACGCTCGCGACCCTCGTGAGGATTCAGCGGTTTCAGATAATGGATGGATGGATGTTCAAAGATCTCTGTATTTGAGGGAGGAGCTAAGGTTAGCTTGTTATAGGTTGAGCTTGACCAAGAGTGTCATTCTTTAGGGGCAGTGGTAGATGCCTCACTTGTATGACACAAGGCCATCCCCTCCAAAACAGCTCAAAGGGTGTATAATTCATTATCCTTAGGATATTTTTGATTAAAACATTGTCAGAGATGTTTTAAGATGCCTATGTGTTCTGAAGATGGGGGGCGGGGGGTGGCGGGCATACCGGTAATGTGTCTTTGGTAACATGCAAGTGTGAATTTTTCCTTCTCATAAGACTTGCCAAATTGAGAAAGGGTGATAAAAGGATCTTAAAATTACCCAAAATCACAAGCAAATTATCATATTTCCCCACATTTGTTTCAAAGCCTTGTCATTAAGACCTTTTGACAGCAACAAATTATTTTACACTAGAGGCTCTATTTTTATGAGCGGCATAAATCCGATGCGGTGTGTGGCATATCTCCGCGAGGGGGCAAATTAGCCAAAGCCGATTTCTATTATAAGAAATCAAGACGGCTCCTTTCGTAGCCTTTAAATGCATGGTGACATGGTGTCGACATGGGAGAAGCATACCTGAGCCTTGTGCTGGTACAAAAATCAGGACAGGCCCACATTTGCGCACTAGTGCATGATGAAAATAATGCTCAATTTGTCTTCAATTGTAACAGCAACAACCTTAGCCAAATTACAAATTGCTGCTAAATAAGCCAATTTTCTGACGTATTACTTTGCAGACTAGACTATTCATGAGACGTTCCGAATGACGTAATGACAGACAAGTCTAAAGTTAATAAGTTACATTTTGAATGACAGTTGATCTCAACTAAAAGTTCTTCATTCACAATTCGTCCAAATGTAACTCCCCTTTAATAAATACTGTGGAAATCAAATATGTTGCTGTAGTTGTGCTAACCAAAACATTAGACAGCTCCGTGTGACGCGGTGGTCCTTTAACAGGGGCAAATACTTTACAAAGAGGTTTTGGGGGAGGCACACATTTATAAAGCGAGGTAAGGACCCGGAGAAGAAGAAAGACATGTATAAGGCGAGCAGCGCGAGATCATGATCACCAAGTGGAGAAAAATGCAAAATGGAGCACTTGAGATTATTCCCTCCGTGATGATGTACTGGGAGTGAGAGAGGCTCTGGCTAAGATACGGTGAAGGAGGGGAGGAAATGAAAGTGCGTTCTCACAGACACACGCGCACAAGTTCGCTCGCTTCCATCACAATGAGATTTTTTTTCTTCAGCGATCAAATCGCAAGCCCACTCATTAGGGATGTTCACACGGCAACTTTTACTCCGGTGTAGCACCGGGGCTGCCCCCCGTAGAGCGTTCACACGTACAAAGTTAGACCGGTGTAGCCCCTGAAAACAGCTGAAACCGGAGCTAATTTAACCCTGCTCAGGAGGTGGTTTAAAAAGTTACTCTGGAGTAAGTGCAAATTTGCGGGGCAGCACCGATATAAAATGGGACGTGTGAACGCTACAGGGGTAGATTTGCTACGCATGAGAAGAGTTGATTACATACGGATATTGCATAACTTGCATCCTGGGTAGTTTGCACTTCTTTCCTTTCTCTCTCTCATCCTTTCACGGTGTCTGATAGACCACAGTGTTAATTTGTCTGGAGAAGTATAAAGCACTGTTTTTTGGTATGTCACAAACAAGGTGGGGAAAAGGAAGTACACTTTACGCATGCGCATGTTTTATTTCCGTATTACCGTATTGCACGGCCGCAGAAACTGAACGCAAGTGGGGCTGCACCGGGGGTTAACGCGCTTCTCTTTAGTAAGCAGCTTTATACGTGTGAACGCTGCACAAAATGTACACCGGTGTAAGATATATCACAACAAAATACGTCGGTGCAGCACCGATGCAAAGGTGTGTCGTGTGAACACCCCTATTGAGTCGATACTTTCACCCTGCAAGTCAGAGCAATGGCTGGAAACATGGCAAGAGCTACCGCATTCTATAGAGGGCTCCGTCCTTTTAGCAATTACCCACAATGCACTACCGGCGGCCATATTGGAGGGCTGTTATAAACAAGCCATACACGAATAGACTTTGTGTATGGCTTGTTTATATGATGTAGTGCAGCTCTCCAACAAATTAAACAAAAGTCAGATGCATCAACGTGAGAAATGACTTTGAAAGTGAACATGACCTTTGTAAAGGAATATGTTTTGGCACAATTCTTCTGGTTCAACACCCATTCTCTTTCCCAGGCATGCGGTGCTCGAGAACTTGATACAAACATAACGATACCGGGGGCTAAAGGGGAGCATTTTTTTTCCCCCCATGAAGACCCGATGTTTCTGAAAGATTGTTCCTGTGGTATGAAGTGTGATAAAAGTCATTTTCCCGATCCCAAACGGAACGACAGCCCATCAGGAAGCGATTTGAAGCGTGTGTTATATGCGAACACAAATAGAGGAACAGCTGCTTTTGATGAAAATGTGTGTTACCTGTCTCATGAGTTATTCATCACAATAAAAATGAGAAGTGTTTGCCACCACCGCTAGTTACCACAGAAGCCTAACAGTCAGCCAAAATTCGATTTCTTCCTCGACGACACTTCCTTCTTTGTATCTATGGCAATCTGAATGCACAGTGGCGTCACGTTGCCAAGATTAGTCGACCAGTGCCAATTATGTCATTTATCAAAATTGTTGACGGCTCGTTTCAAAATTGAGGTTTATTATTATTACTTTTTTTTTTTTTTTTTTTTTTTTACATTTTGTTTTTGGCACAAAACTGCAGCTGTACCTTCCGCTGCCTTGTCTCCCTTTATCCCCTTGATAAAAATGTGTAGTCGATTGGCGCACTAGGGGTCAGCCGTGATGTCACTGGAAAACTTACAGCCAAACATAAAACGGCTAACAGGCAACTGAGCTTGAAAATCTGCAAGACAGAACTTGCCTTTCATGATTCACGAGCATCTGGAAAAGAAGCAGGTTGCGGCTGTTTCCATTTCTGATGAAGAGGGCCATCTCTGTGAGCTATTTGGCTAGTTAGCTGCTAACATTAGCCAGCTGCGTTACAGTAATAAAATTATACTTTAAATTTGGATGGACGACTTTGTTACCAGGCAAGCGACATGCACACCTGGGCAAGCCAATGTCCTAACTCAAAATCTTGAACATGTCATAATAACAAGCGGCAAAAGTGGCAGACTTGGTTCAGGCGAAGGCGATTTACAATTGTCAGTGCCCAGATCGTTCAATGTTTGTTCTGCTATGTTCATTCGGGTTTCGTCGGTTCTTAGTTTTGATTGACACCGTCACGGACACGTGCATTTAATAGTACTGTCGATGACGTGGCAAGGAGCAGATTTAAGTATGATGCCACACACTAAACAAAAACGTGATATACATCTCATTATGATGTGAAAATATTGCCGGCGGTACGGACATATCAGACACTTGAGAAAAATGATATCCTCCCCGTCGTAAACTATCCACCTACTTCGATCACAGCATCTGTGATTCCAGGCCGAGGCGCGAGCAGATGTTCTGATTAAGACTGTTGCATGCTGGGGCACTCCGATCGGGAGCGACCTCATGCCGGATCGTGATGGATGACTTCATCATTTCGGCTACAAGTGCTGCGTCAACAATGCCACCTGCAGTGTGTATTTCATGCCTAACCCCATTACGGAAAGAGCTAAAGAAAAAGCGACCCACCCCCCTCGCTGTGGCGTGCTGTTTAAATAAGCTCTGTGTAAAATGCTTAACAGCACCAGCCCGTTGGCCGTTAAAAACTGCGCGGTCCCATTGATTATGGGGTAATAGCTGGACAGATGAACGTGCCTCTCAGCGGTAGGGTGGGGCGGGGGATGAAGAAGGATGAACCAGAATCACTCTCACAGACACCGGCAAGTGGAGCGGCCTCTCTATCCACTAAACTGCATTTCTATATCCTCACTCATATTTCACACGCCGATTACTGCTTAGAGTGCTTTCTCCAGGGGGCCAGAAAGTGTCCTCCACGGAGGTGAACTCCTCCTGAGGAGATAAGCTGCGTCAATTTGGGGAAATGTCATTTTTGGGGATAATGAAACTCTACTGTCAGGTAGAGTAGTGGGAATGGATTGGAGCAGGTCTCAAAGGGGGGAGGAAAAAAATTGCAAGTTTAAGCAGCGGCATCCATGCGTGCGCACGTATGTGTGTCGGTGCACATGTGTGTATGTCGCATCCATTGTAATATGCGTGTGAGGTGGAAAAGCCGTGAAGGAACAGCGTTCGCACTGCTCGCAAAGCTCAAGGTGCTCAGCCGCCAATAATGTGCAACACTACATCGCGGGCATCAAATATTTAGCAGCGAGCTGGTGAACTTGTGCACCTCAGCGCTTGCAGGAGGCATATGACTGGGATAAAACAATAGATACATTGTAAACCCTCGTAAAAGTCATTTTTTCAGAGAGCAAGAAAAAGGTGAATATGATGCTTCATGTCTAAATAATTTCATTTCGGTTCAACTTTAATGAGCTGTTTCATGAAGGATGGAGCTGATTTTAGCAGAGGTGGCCAGCATCCTGAGAACATTTTTTTTGTGTTAAACTGTTACTGAGGCCATTATTTTAAGAGGGTGGCAACATGTTATGATATGATATAAATGACTGACATATATCCCGTCCTTAATTACAAAAAAAGGTTCATTTCTGGACCCCGAATTGTCACATTGAGCTCCAGTGTAAATGTTTGACAAATGTTTTCGAGGCTGAAACAGTGTCTAGAGTACAAAATCAGTGTCTTTGAGGGTAGCGCGCACCTCCAAAATGCACCAGTTGAACTTTTGAGAACAGTGTAGTATACCTTACAATATATAAAGAAACAAACAGGTGCTTTGAAGGGAAGATTGCTCCCCTATGTCCACTGATGCACTTTAAGAACAGTGTGGTTTAGTGTTCCAAAAAAAAAAAAAATCTGGCTGAAGGAGTACCTTTAAAAGGATTAAAGGTGTTGCCATGGCAAATTTAAAAAAATGTCTCTGCAAGCCTATACCGATAAAAGCAAACTGAGTCCATCCATTTGAGCAACAGGGAGGCAAAATCCTCTGCAATTAAAGTTGCATGTTGGCTTTGAGAGAACCTGATAATGTTGTGCAAATGGCTCCACTCAACTTCGTCTATCTCTGCTGCTTTTTATTCTAATCAATGAGCCTCCACGTCGTCTGATCAACTTCCTGCTCCCATTAAAAGCCCAGAAAGTGGATTACATCATTGCTTGTGCCACTCGCAGAGCCGAGGAGAGAGAGAGAGAGAGTGTGAGGAGGAAAAGGAGGAGATCCACCCACACAAACATTTTTCTGTTGCATGAATCCAACCCACGCTGAGACTGCTGCTCCAATAGAAAGGGGGAGGAAAAAAGAAATCTCTCACCTGGTTGTTGATGCGAAGAGCAAGGTGTCTCCGCTCCCGAGCCACGCTACTCCCGCCGCGCATCCTCGCCTCCTCCCCCGGATGCATGCCTCTGCAAGACAACGCTCAAGTTACCGCTTTCACCGCGCAGATGCGTGATCGCGTCCACGCAGAGCGCGGCGCAATGGGAAGCGGCGGAGTGAGTGACACCAACCTGTGCGTGGAGTTCCTCAGCATGGCGCTGTCCCTCTCTTTCGCTTTCTCTCGCTCGCGGTTTCCCCTTCTTTCTGCAGCCACTCACGGATCAAGTGGACACTTGGAGAGTGGTGGAGCAGCCGGAGAGATGACCTGACTTGGTTTGGAGAGTGCGCGCGCGCGTTTTTTTATACAGCGTGTCACTGCATGTATTAGTGTGCGCGTTGGAAGTGCATGCTTTGGAAAATGCGTCAAAAAAGTGGCGGATGAACGTGCACGCGGTCATGAATGAAACACCTGACGTTCAGAAGAGAAGCGCAGAAATTGTGAGTCGAGCCAACAAAAAAATGGATGCAAAAATTCAGCAAAATGAATTGAGATTGGGAAAACATCCATATGACATGACATTCTGCAACAAGTCTCCACTGTAGTTTAAAAAAAACGAGCCATCAATCTCCGTCAATTTGAATACTGTATTGTCAAACGCGGAAAATACATTTCAGAATTAAGGGCACTTCCTACTTCATTTCTATGTTAAGAATAATTTTGCTTGTTCATTCTAGAATATTCAAATTTCTTCAGATGGTGAATTGTGGATTTTCCTTAGCTTTAATTTAGCTCATCAAAATGTGTGATAGCTGAGCTACCTTTTTGACTTACACTTCAGATGTTCTTTCCTCATTGTTTCCCCATTTAAAGGAAGAGTTACACTAGATTTTCAAACATATTTTGGACTCTTCAAAGTTGATCACAATCTACTCTGCGCTGCTGACTTTCAAATTGATCTAATTTATACATAAAAAGGGAATTAATTATTACAAAGTCTGCAGGTGGTGTTTTATTGTTTCTAAATGTAAAAAATGTGAAGAAAAGTTAACAATTGAGTAACAGAAGTAAAATAGAGTAAAATCACTCACCCTTTGAAGACACCTGAGACGCTAAGAAAGGGAATAGAAAGATGTTTGCAGGGGACATTATACTTACTTTTAATTACTGTCTGGTTGATCGAGAAACTTCTGTCAAAAAATTGGCATCGGCCTCAAAAAATCCGGATCAGTTGGACCCCAATTATGGACCTTTGACTCATTGAAAAAAAAAAATGAATTAGTGGGTCTTTAAGATTTGTATTTGCATATATTTGCTTTAAATGCTCAGTGAACTGAAATCTTAAGTACAGTGTACATGTGTTTGACTCAGGACAATTAACAGCCAAACCCCACCCCGCCCTCACCCACGCACACGCCACCACCAGCAACCCCATGGTAACTACCACATTACCTTTTCACTACAGGTTAGTTAGTGCATTTTTATTTGTGGCAATTTGGGAACATTGGGGGGGTAGAAAAATACTTTAGGAGCCTGGACTCGTACAGCTTGGGGACAGACGCATGCTGTCACATTATCAGACTCACTCAAACATAACACACAGCTTTTTAATGGCTCATGATTTTTCCTCTCCAATTCTGTCAATCCAATTTGTCTTGGGCATCGCACACAGCCCCCCCCGCCCCCCCCCCAAAAAATACCCCACTTATACTTCTATAACTGTCATGGGAACACCTTTAATGGTTGAAACAACAACTCCTTCCACCTCTAATGATTTTATTTTGGTGTGAAAAAGCGGTAACAATCATAGGAAAGACAAGTGAGACCGACTCGGTCGCTTTGGGGTCTTGGTACTCTTGTGGTACCTTTAAAAGTACACTTTTGAACACTTATAAATGGCCCAGAAAAAGGTGCATTGCACTGCAGCAATTTTGGGACCTTTGGGGACACTCAACTGGCCACAGGAAACCTTCAGGGAGTACAAGTAACTAAAAGTTGGTTTAACTTTTGCTGCAAATGCGGCTTTAGTGTCTAATACTTCTAATCTTGAGGGCTACATTAGTGTAGATCATTCCTTGAGGAGAGCAACTGATTCATTCCTCCTATATCCCCATTTCTGATGAGTGCAGGAATAATTTTAGGTCACAACTCGAGACTGTTAACAAGCTATTTTTCTCGGTTTTATTTTATTGCTATTAGTTAATATTCAACAATAAAAGTCTGATTCATCCTATTTAGAACATAGGAGTTAAGTAATTTAACGCACCCATTGCATGGACTATAAAAGTGCCGAGTGTGCCGAGTAGCACCAAGCGCCGGGACACTACATGAGGTTGTAGATTCAAATAAATGAACAAAACAATGTCTGCGCTGAAATATGAAAGGCCTTCTGTCCTTGAGTCTTGATGGTCTACATTTTGTCTCGAGACACCGCATTGAGCGTTACTGTGTTCTGTGAGGTTGCAGTGGTTTAAAAAAAGATGCAGCACAACAGCGTCTGTGGTCTGTGTCCCAAACAAATTAATTGAAACCAAACGGAGGGGTGGGGAGGGAGAATACGTGTCCACTCAGAAGGAAAACAATCACCCGTGTGAAGGTTGAAAGTGGCTTGGTGCTATGAACGTAATGTCTACAAGTTCAGAAGGTGGTAAACAGGCTCTCTCGTTGTCCCATTTCTTATTGTCATTGCATACTTGTCTGGAGTCGCATCGCTAAAGTGCCAGAGGAGTGCAGCCGAATGAAGGGCATCACTTCAGAACACTCCTGTGGGCAAGCGATGACAGATGGCCGGAGCAGTGGTGTGGCAGCTGAGAGAGCAGAGAGGAAAGAGCAGGAGAAGACCTCATTTGGAGCCGAGGAGGTGGTGATGGATAAACAAATACATCAGCGGGGCATCAAAATCAATCCTTCTGGCTCACAATCAAGACCTGAAGTAGCACATTATAGATTTAATGAATTACAGCCAAACCCCTCAACTCGAATGAGCAATTTCTGAAACAAATAGGCCTCTTAAGTCGTAAACATACATTGTATGAATGAGAGGTGCAACGATTAATCGATATCGAATCAAACGTCAAATGAATCAATGATTATTATGACAATCGATTAATCGTTTTGAGACCTCGAGTCATAAGTTGGAAGAAAATATTGCCGTCTACTTAAGGTCCTCAATTGTACTAAACGGTAATGAGTATGACTGACAAAACTAAATGTCTATCAAGTGATTGCGTGCATGTTACCTGTGCTCCAAGCTTGGAGAGATAGCGGTTGCGCAAGCCAAAGGCAGACATAGGTGACAATCTCGCCACACCGCCCTCTGTCAGCTGACTGGGCCGCCGTGTGTTCCTACACCACAACACAATTAAGCCTTCCAGCAACTCCACAAACACAACTTCACACACTGCCTGTGGAGAATAAAATACAAATTGACTGCGTTGTTCAGAAAGCTGTTTATTCAATTTTTTTTTTTTTTTTTTTACTTGGTTTCACAAAACCAACCCATGATTGTTCAAGTGGTTTGTAGAGCGTTTCACACTACTACTTGGCTGTAGTGCATCAATCATTTCCACACAGATCAGTCATATTTTTCATTCAGCTCACTACTTGAACTTAGTGAATAAACGGTCCTCAAAAGGACACATTCATAAAACTTCTTAAAAAATACAAAAGACAATTGAGTGGTTATGAATGCAAAAAATATACACGAATCAATCCCCAAAGCCAGTGGGGAGCAGATAACATAATTACATGACGACTAAGACTTCAATTAAAGAGCAATGCCCCTTTAAAGCAGCCACGATTACCATTTTGTAGTGCGTATGATTAAAATCTCAAGTCCCTCTGGTCCCTTGGAGAGAATCCAGGATCCTTATATATATATATATTATATGTATTAAAATGCACTTTAAAATGACTCTCCACAGTATAAGGTCATTACATATCTTGGGTTGTGAGGCTCCTCTCCATCCCAAGACCGAAAAAGCTTTAAAATGTTTACTTCCTTCTTCAACAGAAGCCCCCCCAAAAAACAGCGTTACATCCAGATACTCAGTTGATGGCAGTACTGAGTCACGAGTCCCGCAGTCCTGACCCCACGGCCCACTGACTGACAGCTGAGGGGTGGACGGTACGGCCTTCTGCCTCTGTACGCCCAGGACCGTGTGCAATCCCTCATCATCATCATCTGGAAAAGAGTAATTACAGCATGGGGGCAATTTACTCAGACAGATGGTGGTGGGCAATAATTATAAACTTATTTGACCCACTAAAACGACTCGTGTCACGTTACATGAACAAGCGTCAAGTGCTGAAAGCTTTCTTCCGACATGACTAACATTGTCATGAGTCTAATTGTCTCAGCGACCACTTTTTAAAAAGGGAAATGACTGAAGCATTGTTGATCTCCTATTAACAACATGAATTCATAGTTTAATTTTTCAGTCCATCCTCCGGATCTGACGAAGGTAATTCACAAGAAATTCCATGGGACTTTGTTGTCATTTAAACAAATCTCTTGAATTATTTTATGACCAGAACGCCGGGATTTACTTTCACTATCACAGTAGTTCCATTGGAACAGTGGTTCTTAATCTGGGTTCGATCGAATCCTCGGGGTTCGGTGAATCGGTTTCAGGGGTTCGACGGGTTCTTTGCCATACAATTAAATTAAAATAAATAAATAAATAAACAAACCTACTTATAAATCATGTAAATGTTTTTCCCCCCCACCAGTTTGACTTCAAACAATCATGTCAAACCGTTGTCTTGCTAACTATTACAACATATACAGAAATGTGTTTACCGGGTTTAGTCGCGTGATCTCCCACATATAGCGGATTAGATCTCATTGCACGGGTGAACCTAATAAAGTGGCTGGTGAGGGTAGACATGCCAGGAAAGTAAACAGTCGATTCAGCTCAGGGTAAAGCAATTCTCAGAAGAGCCAAAAATATGCGTGCCACTTGCTTAGATGAGTGGGTTGTTCATTACGTTTCTAAGACGCCTGTGAGTGGGCGGAAAAGCAACAGCAGCGGGTGAAGAGCGGCTGCTACTCACTCAGCTTCTGAAGTAGCTTCTTTCAGGAGTTTGGCTCTGGCTGCAGCTGACCGGTTCAAATCTCCTCCTGGAGGGAGACAAACAGGAGGGAAGTGATTAAGGCCGGGGGATAGAAGAGCGTGCTTCACTACCACGGTTAAGATATTCTCTTACCTCTTAGATAATCCACAAAGTAAAGCATCACCACCGCCACCAGTGCAACTGCAAGACAAGAGAGCACAAATGTGGAAAAGGCTGTCAATCATGAAAAAAAGGTTTTCGGGGCTGAAAAATAGAAAAGCGACTGACTGCAGATGCAGGAACAGAAAAAGACTTGGAGAAATAGGTATCCTTTGGTGTCGAGGATGGCTCCTGCTGCCATGGCGATGAGAGCTAATCCGAGGTTTTGGACAGACTGCATGCTATGGGGAGGAACATTACCATTAAATTAATGAAACACAATCAGCTAGAGTTCATTAGAGGGAAATTAAGTAGATGGGTTCGTACAAGCCATAGGCTGTTCCCAGCTGGTGCTCAGGTACCACGAAGGCCACCATGGGCCAAAGTGCGCATGCCAAGAGGGAGTAGGACAACCCCAGCAGTGACTGGAAGACACACGGATGCGAGATTATACACTGAATGCTGTAAATAATGGTTGAGATGAAATATGTATCATGTTATTGAATAAAACTGCATTTGTTACGGCAGAGAGGGGAGTCAAGATTTTAAAAAATTTAGACTGTTTAAAAAAAATCGAATTTAGTTTCCGTTGGTCCATTACCGCGTGAAAAAACACATTCGCGTCCAAAACATTTCACAGGTTACCATGCCAATCCAGGGGGTCCAGAAGGTAAAGGCCAGCATCATGTGAGAGGCCAGCGTGGTGCACACAGCGCACATCACCCAAATCACATTCCTCCCAGTCTTGTCCACCAAAAAGCCCAAAACGGGAGACGCCGGCGCCGAGATGATGTAAACGATGCTGAGGGATTCAAAAGGGTACATGGAGATGAGTTGAAAAAAAAACAACTGAGGTCATGCGAGTGCCAAAGTGTGCACACCCTGTTATAAAGGGGATCACAAAACCTGCTATATGTACAGGGCTATGTCGACTGTTTATAGACACAGTAAATAGAAAGAAAAATATATATTTTAGGGAGGAAAAACCTGTACAATCAGAAAAAATGCACTTGCAAATGAAATATGGTTCGGTGTAAACATTGTCTAATATGAATTACCTGTTGACAGCTCTCGCTTCAGCAGGGGAAAAGTCAAATTTCTCGATGAAAAAGACCCTGGAGGAAAAAGGAGGCAAGATGACGCCGTTGCTCAGCTTACACTCACTTACAACTTACGCAGCTTTCCCTCTGGCATCCATCATTTTGGCTCCCATTTGTACGACAACTAAACAACGACTTGCTTTGGGAGCACAGTACAGTCGAGTGAAGAAGCTACATCAGTCGCTAAATGATTTGAGAGCGTCTTTCAAGTTGCGACGACATCAATTGATTTGTCTCACCGTCGACCCATTTTCAAAACCATTTTCCGTTTCTGACGCCCACTTCCACCCCTCTGTGGCTTGATAGTCATGCAGCATTCTGCCACAAAAACTTACTGCAGATACGGACATTGTGCAAATCTAACAAGGCCCTCTATTATACTCCCAGAGTGGCCTTCAAACATAAGGACGTCTTGTTTAGGAGTTGAATTCTCTTTCTCATTCATTCAAGGACAATAAATATGTTTTCAGCAGATGCCTACGACGCTCAGTGCTCCCCATAAGAAACTATTATTGTAAATTATCTGCGGCGTTACAGCATCGGTAAACTTAACAACAACTCTAATGAGACATAAAATGGTCTCATTCAAAATTCAGATGCACATTTCCTCAGACAAGCTCACAGCTCTCCTATTAGCAAGAGAAAAGTGGAAATTATAAGAACAACTTTGTGGCAAACAGACTGCACTCCAATTTATTTTTTAGGTTTAAGAATGCAACACTCCCAAAATTCGGATGTGCTCTGTATGTTGCGGACCCGTTCCTCCAAGCTTGTCGCCATCGCGGCAACTTGTTTTTTTTTTTTTTTTTACGTGGACTGGTGCGTACTGATCCGTTTGGAAAAATTTTCCATTCCCAAATACAGAGTTCCCAAATAGAGAGACCATTAATTTGCCGCCCCGTTGACTTTAGACCAATTTCAATACATTTTGGGAGGATAAAACGTATTTATTTATTTATTCATTCATTCATTCATTCATTCATTCATACATTCATACATTCATACATTCATACATACATACATACATACATACATAAAACCGTTTGAAGTGATTCCTGGTTGAGTGAGGGGGTGTAATACTCACTGTCCCAGTCCAATAAAAGGGAAGATGGCCACATAGTAGCTGACACAAATGATGAAGATGATCCACAGGGGCAAGGGGAAGTCTTTCACATCCGTCAGTTGAATTACCTCACCTGACAGTCAAGATACAAACATGCATTGAAGCAGAAACTAATTTTCAAAAAAAGCCATATAATTACATTACAGCAGTTTTTTTTTGTTTTTTTTTTTTAAATACAGCGCGCATTCATTCAAGTCAGAAATATTGTAACTAAAAGCGGACAACGAAATAGCTGCTTATAGTCTGAAGCTTTTGACGCCGGGGGTCAAAGGAGGCATGTACAAGCCAAAGTCAGAATGCTTTACCAGTTTTCCCCTGCTCCTTCTGGAGTATTTTCTCTGCTCTTTTGTCAAGGAATGCCAGGACCAGAGCACAGATTAGCGAGAAAATGCAGGTTACAGCAGCTGAGGAGAGAAAACAGGATTAAACTCAAATATGGGAATGGTTGCAAATATTGATGGACAAGATTTCGGGCTCAATTTCATTTAGATCTTGACAAGAGTTCTGATATTACTTTGCAAGGACTAAGCACACAAAAAATATAGCTCCCACAGAGACAGGAAAGGAATCAAACTTTTTTTTTTTTACTCATGGAGGCAGCAGTTCATCACCAAGCCACTGAAGCACACTTGTCAAATAGTGTGCAGATCTGTCAATGTGGTGCATGCAACAGACATCACGAAACACATTCTCCTACTAAGGGCGGGTAGGACACCCCAGACAAAAATTCTCTGCTCCGCCCTGCCCTGAGGGAGGTATGAGTGTCTTAACTAAAGAGTTTTTTGTCAACACGAACAGTCACTTGGGCTGTTGTTTTGTCTTGCATTACGAGCAAAAATTACATACAAGGGTGTGCTTCAGAACCCCACCGCTAGATGGCAGCAGCAAACTTGACGTTTCGATGAGATTATCATGTATCAAAACAACGTAGCCGATTGTGAACTTGACGGATATCTTAAGATTTACAAGCACCTTGTGATTGATCAAAGAGTTTGTCACTTTAAGTCTTCTATTCCTTTTGTTCTTCAACTTCTCCATTTCATAATTTTGCTGCTGTAAATTGGGAATTTCTCCATTGTGAGACAAATAAAGGTTTTCTTATCTTATAAAGAGTGTCACAAAAGAGAGACACGCACGTGCGCACACACACACACACACACACACACACACACACACACACACACACACACACACACACACACAGGTGTGTGTTTTGAACAAAGAGAGCCTTGTATTTCATTTTGTAGTTCCTTTGTTTGCATAGTCATAAAACACAATATTCTGTGAGATGTGAAAGATCAGTCAGAATGCTCTAAATTTGCTGGCACTCAACGGGTTCCCTTTTTTAGAAATGTCTGAAAAAGGTTTTGAAACAATAGAAATCACATTTTCACCACAATTGCTCAACATAACGTCAACAAACCCAAAGAACAAACCAACAAATTTGACAAAGGAGCCTGAGAAAGTCCTTGACCACTTGTTTCTAAAAGCTGATGGTTTAAAAATAAGTAGAAGTGACGGTTCCTCTCACTGGTGTCATTCACATGACCTGTTGCACTTTCAGTTCTCCTTCTGATCTGTTAGCTGATATTTCGACAAGGGCCCATTGAAGGCTTGGTTAACTCTTGGGATATGAAACCCAAGCCTGAATTTTGTTATTTCGTTACTTACCTATCATGAACGAGCAGCCTAGCGTGGTGTGACCGGGAGCACCAATCAGGAGAGTCACTTTGCTGTACACCCAGCCCATGATGTTCATGTTCACCGTGCTGCCCTGCAGACCACGGGAGTGTATGCATTCACACATTGAGCTGCTTCTGAACATAACTTGAGCGAAAGTAATTTTTTTGGTTTTGTTTTGTTTTACCAAGCGAGCCATGCTCAGCTGAAGACCAAACACCAGGTTGAGCTCCTTCCCTTTAAACCAGTTGACTGCATACGTGTTCTGGGCCACAGCCAGGGACTCCCCTCCAATTCTATCCACAACAACAGAGCATAAAAAAAAAAAAAAATACATTTCATCCACTTGGACAGCAGCTGAACCGCAAATCATAATCACAATCATAGCTCACTTTAAACTCTTAGCCACTCTACAAAAATGTACACATTACATTGAAAGTACATTTTTCCTGGGAGCATTACATGACATTTTACGCGTATTGCATATGCATATAAAAATCATTAGCTCCCCACAAGATTAATAATAATAAACTATAGTTATTCAAAAATGATTTTCCTTCATAGGCTGAGTAGAGTATAATCAAAAAGATATATCTATGTGCGAACAATGCGCATTTTCACAGTATAGGATTGATATATTCAACAAAATTAGCCTTTTAAGGAAAATAATTGCCTGCATTCATCTCTCACTTTGTACCAATTAAAAGCAACCAACCTAAATATGCAGTACTGTATATCCTTCTTAAAAAAAATCTATCCAACAAAGTACCACCTGAAAAAATAATTTGCTCTCCAAAGTACTACCATTATGACTAACAGCAATGTGGTGGGCCTTCGTGTTCATCAAAAACAAAACCGAGGGTTTACGCCAAGTCACTGTAACATTATGCAGAGTTTGAACATTAGACATCAAGATAAACACAAAAAAAGTGTACCTAAACAACAATTCAATAAAAATGTTCACATCAGTTGTTTATTTAAAAAAAAAAATAATAATAAAAATAAAAATAAACTTTTTTGTTTTTTTTTTTTTACATCTTTTCCTTTCGGCTTATCCCATTGGGAGTCGTCACAGTATGTTCTGTGTATATTATTTTCCTTTAAATTGTGTTTTATTTTCAGCCTGGCAAATCTTTATTTCAGTGTAATACACATAAATGATCATTTCCTCACCCAAATATAAAACGTCCAATTTCCATCAACCAAAAACGATTTACCAAAGCTCCAGTAGCAAATATGAGCTGTATGGATGAAAACAACAACACAACATATTAAAATCTCCCCCAAAATATGCCTGAAAATGCAAGCTGGAAAATAATACAAACCTACCTGTCCAATACAAACAAACAGGGAAAAGATGATGGTTCCCAGCCTAATCAGAAAAAAAAAAAGAAAAAAAAACATTTAGTAGTCATGTGGCTGAAAACTCCAACTTATTAAATGCTGATATTACCTGATGCCAAAGACTCTGTCAATGAGGAATCCCCCAAAGAAGCAGAGGATGACATTGGGCCACGAGTACCAGGCATATAGCTGCATGAACTTGGCCGTGTTCAGGTTCAAATCCTTCACAAAACACAAGTCGATTGCTTTATGCATTTTACTTTTCAAGCAAGTTAAATACAAGTCAATTGTAGTGCTGTAATACTAATAGGTTTGGTCAATTAGTTTGAGTTTATTGCTCCGGATATTTAATTTATTTATTTTTAATATAAAACTGCTTTTTTAAGCAGCTTGCGTAGTACTACAAGAATCTTCACTGAAGTACGCTGCCTGCGCCGACAACATGGCTGCGAACAGAAAGGCACGAGCAGTAACTTGGAAAAAAACAGAGTCAGTGTCAGCATGTTTTGGTCCAAGGTTGACCCTTTGGGCCATAAACTGAAAAGGTATGATTGGCCAAAACACGAAACATTATCTCAACTGTTTATTTTTACTTCTCCTTTTGAAAAGACAAACACTACCTACCTATCTATCTATACAGTACATAGTTGTACAGGTTATAGGTCACAATAGGTGGATAAGAATTTAAAAATGATTTGTCTTGCACTCTTTATTTTCATGTCACAAACAGGGGTGTGTAGATCTTCATGAAAAAAGATTACGAGCTGGTCCAGTATTACTCTTCGACAACAGACAAGCAGTATAGACCAGTTGCCATACAGTTTGATAACTCATTTTATGCTAACATCTAAGGCTTAGGTGTCACTTCGATTTTAAGGCGTGATTTATTAGGAATCATGTGCCCATACTGTACGTGTTTCACATTATAAGTCAAGAATTTGGTGCAGGTTAAAAATGAAAGCAAATCGCCAAAGAGAAAAAAAAGGAAAACGCATTTTAAATGTCACTGTCATGTTTTGTCTATCGCGCAGGATAAGGGGGCATTTCAAGTCAGAAAACCTTTTTTGGGGGGGCGGGGGGGGGGGGCATAGAGCTTTTATTTTGAGACCATGGCCAGTCTCAGTGAAACATTTTATTTGAATGGGACTGTGGATTTGCTACTAGATGGACATATTGCTGTGGTTATATTTTAAACATGGTTTACTGGAGGCGTGTGTTTTGTTTTGTTTTTTTTTAATGCGGGAAAATTGCTGCGTTCTTGTCATTTTTTTTTTACATCAAATGGGATCATTTACCTGCAGGACTTCAGTCTGAAGAGAAGCCGGGTTATCATAACAGAAGTAGCTTCCTGAAATAAAATAACCCCACAAGCACACAATTGGAACCTTTCACGCGACACAAGTCTTGGGTGAAGCTGAAGGTTCTATTTCGTAAACAAGAGTTTTTAAATAACGCCGACGCTCCACGTTGGCGCCCTTTCGTGCTTACCGAATCCGAGGAAACACATAAACACCAAGACAACGACCCGGTGCAAGACGTGCGCCGGATCGCAGATGGCGGGCAGCGGTCTGCCGACACGGCCACTCTCCTCTCCGCCGGACAAGGAGTCCTCATCCCCAGCTTCTGCCGCGAGAAGCGGCCGGTCCTCCTCGATGTCCGCCATGTTTGGGATCGACAGAGGAAAGTTGACGGAAGTGAAGAAGAGGCAAGTGACCCGTCACATGACCGGCACATGCACGTCACGTGAATGCACGAGACCGCCAGGAACCCGGAAAAAGCGACACAGGACAATTTATTTAGAATTTAATTCAAGCAAAAGTTATTAATTGTCATATACAAAATTAATTGTCACTTATAAATTTAAAAATATCACATACACACACGCGCACACACGCGCGCGCGCGCGCGCACACACACACACACACACGCACACACACACGCACGCACGCACGCACTCACCAAACTGAGGCTCAGAGGGGATCAAACCTTTCCGTTGCTGGTCCCTCTCTCTGGAATGACATCCCACTGAACACTCGGCAAGGCTCCTCGCTGCCCATCTTTCAAACCCGCCTCAAAACTCACTTGTATTCTTTGGCATTTGACTCAGCATGACCCAAATTATGATCTTAGTTATACTGTTTGGTGCTCTCTACCGTCTTTGATACTGATTTGTTGCTTTGCTTTACTGTTGTATATGTTAGTTACTCCATGTACAGAACTTTGTGTGCAGCGACGGCTGTTTGAAAGTGCTCTATAAATACATTTGAGTTGAGTTGAGACTATCTCATAAGAGGTGGCACGGTGATCCACTGGTAAGCATGTTTGCCTCACAGTGCATGCAGAGGTGCAGAGTTTGATTCAGGCTCCAGCCTTCCCTCATGGAGTTTGCATGTTCTCCCCGGGTAATGTTTTTTTTTTCCCAACATTCCAAAATAGTTGTAATCGTGAGCATGGATGGTTGTTTGTCCATGCGTGCCCTGCAATTTGTTGGCAACCAATTCAGGGTGTCCCACGCCTTCTGCCTGAAGACAGCTGGGATGTGCTCCAGCACAGCGAAAGCGGATTAGAAAATAGATGGATGGATAAATATTTCATAAGGTGAACAATAGAATGAATATTGAAAAATACATTTAAACCACAATAAAAGTCTAAATAAGGCTGAAGTTTAATATTTATGGTTTGGTGGGCCAGTTGCAGTACACCTCCTCATTTTATGGGGCCCACAAGCAAATTATCTACTTTTCTTTTTTATATTTCTTACAAAATGGGTTTGTCCTTTTAATTGTGTCATAAAATCTGCATCGAGTTCTCAACCTTTAACAGCCAGCTTTGTTTTTCATTGGGTGATAATGTGGAATGAGACAATAATGCTTGAAAAGTAGAAATAATACATCTAATCAGTTCGTACGATATCATCCGTTGAGTCAGTTAAACAAGGCAGGCATAAAAATGAGCCGTATCAGGACAGAATGTCTATGTGTGCACCATATTCCATTTTTATTTTGAAGCGACTACCAAGTTCAATTAATTCCCACGAAGAAACCAGCATGAACTGAATCATGTTCGCGTTGTTTTAAATATGACAAGAAAGGAGCCCAGTGGAAATGAATTGTCACTATAAACTTCCTCTTATATTCCATAGGTATCATTTGGACAGATGGAAGGCCATCCGTATTTGACATCTGTAAGGCTTTGCAGTTTATTGAGACATATTATTCATTCCCTTGGCCATGGCTTGCCAATTAACATTTGAACAGCGTTAAACTTGACAACTTTATGACAGCCAAATTGCTTCAACGCATAGTATGATTTGTGTTATCCATGACATATTTCTCGAAACAGATTCTGTTCATGATCTGTGGATGCCTGGACTTCTGGTGTATGCCGGGACCGCCTGTCACCCCTGGCCCTTTGCAGACCACTGACTCTACTTTGAAAACAGCTGTCATGATTGAGTAGATTGGCCCAAAGCTAAGGTAGAGAGGAACAATTGGTTTTGGATTCGAATGCCCATACATAGGTTTGAACTTTTTTATATCATACAACATAGCTAATAATTGGTTCTAATAATCCAGGGCTTCCGGGGACCCTAATTTAAGAACCACTGAACACGGACATTGTGCCATTTGGCTTCAGCCATGCAGGGATACGCAAGCTCAATAAGCAAGCAGCCAGTAACGTGAAAGTGTCAGGCCTCCTGCCACTTCCCTCTACCTGGCTTGACTCTTCCCTGACCCCGACTTGCGTCCGTGCATGCGGTGCCAATCAACACTATCGCAGAGTTGATTTAATTTCCATGAATGTCATTTTGAATTTCTCGTAACTCACCGTCGCGGCTGTCAAGAGAATTTAATCGGCGGGTGACAAACGGCCTTTCTTCTGGCTCCAGTAACTGCGTCACCGCCCGTGGCGAATAGCTCGTTAATTTCCTGACCAAATATCAGCCTCTGCAGTCAAGCCAATACGGGGTGGGATGGAGGAAGATTATAATTCATAATTACATTAATCAAATCTACATGCAGTTGCAGACGTGATTGTCTATCAGATGAATGGTAACATTAATCCTTCCACAAGTAGTTTTTAAATTCACTTAAAATAGTTCAGGGAGAAAGTGGTGCTGGAAAGAAAAAAAGTATAATACTTTCATTGACAATCATGGTAAATATTGATCAGGTTTAACTTTTATCGTTGTTGAACCCCAACCAACCGGGGTAGAAAAATTACTCTTTAACACAATCCACACCAGAGGAGTTTTATTTTAGAGACATTCGGCAATCTGGCATTTGCTGACTTTTGTCTCTAAAGCGAAAAATATTCGGATTAAGCACAATTGTTGGTGTGTGTTTCCCCCACTCTGTGTGAACTGGAAACATAAAAATCATTGGAAAAAAAAACGTAACATGGTGCATTTTTTTCTCAGCAGTAAGCAGTGAGTGTTTGCTTAGCAGGAGCAGTTAGCAGTAAGTGCTGACTAAATTGTTTTTTTTTTTTTTGGGGCGGAGTTTACAGAAGGAGAACTGTCAGTTCAAGGAGATTAGAGATCAGGAAGTTGACAACGACATTGAGTGCGCTTGACATCATGCATCCAATGACTTGGCAAACATTGTGTTGTGTGGCAGGAACAGCGTGGTCATTGTTGCAATGTCATGATCTCCCGCAATAATGTTTGTAGCATCTATTTGTCCATGAAGTTCGTGTCAATTTCAAATATACAATTTGCTGAGCTTTAAAGGAGACATATTTAGTTGTTTTTCCATAAATTAAAATAGCTGTATTGGATGTCTTTCATAAAAAGTGACATACTTTGATCAAAATATTAGAACGTTCAAGAATTACAGCACACTTTTCACTCACTTAAATGCCCTGTTAAAATCAGTCAATTTTGGGGTCTGTCCAGTCTCATGCCAACGAGCCACTGCTCACCCCGCCCCTTTCTGCTCTGGAGTATGAAGTGTGGCTGTGGTACCTGAAGTTGTGATCAACTAATATGTCATTTGATCTCATCCTTATGTGATGCAAATCCGTAGCTAATGCTAATGTGTGCATCCAACAGTTTCTTTTGTTTGTTGACGCGATCGTTGGTTTGTATCATTTGCTTCTCTTCATGGTATTATTTAAATTAGAATGTCTGTGATATCACAAAAAAAGCCAAAATCTGAATGGCTTACTTCATGATAAGCGTCTGAACATGTTGGAAAATTAAGTTGCGCGCACTTGTTACGTGGCACTCCGGAGACCCACATGTCTATACAACCAATGAAAAAGTCAGTTTTGTATAATACTTTCCCTTTACATCAATACTGTCAAATAAATGAACAAACCAATCAGCATCCTTTGTAAAGGCAGCAAGAGGCATGGTTTAGACATCACATAAATTAAACTAAACGCTTGTTAACAATGGTGACCAGGAACAGATAAGCATGGATGGTGACACAGTGGCAGTTTTGTCAGAAGTGGCCGACATATTATGGCTTGACCAATTGCCCTCTTTTTTTTTAAGTTCCCCGCCATTTTCAAAGCAGTTTTTCTCTAATTAACTACAAAATATTAGACATATGTACATATTGGTCATGTTAGATAGGTCCATTGTGTTATTTTGCTGGATCATTTTTCACCACTTTGTTTGGCATTTGCGACATATCCAGCTGTGTGGACGTGGCAGTGGGGGAGTCTCCATGGTGGAGAGGCTTTCTTCTGAGCGTGGCCGTGAGTCGCTTCCGAAACACACTGCACAGGAACACGTAAATGAGCGGGTCAAGACACACATTGGTGGCCGACAGCCACAGCGTGGTCTCTTTGGCAATGAAGAGGCCGTTCTTCGCCCGGCACTGAGTGATGGCATTGCGGGTCTGCGTCAGAGTGTAGGGAACGCGGGCAAAGTGGAAGGGGGCGAAGCAGATAAAGAAGACGGCAACCACCACGAAGACTTTGGCTTTGGTTTTGCGGGTGGCTGCCCCAGAGCTGCTTTTTGAGGCTTTGTATGATTCATACACTTTCTTGCTAATGAATGTGTAGCAGAACACCATCAGGGCCAATGTTCCCCAGAAGATCACCTGCAGGCAAACACAAGGGAAGGGAAAACATGTTACTCCCGTTGATCTTTCTCTATACAGTCGATCCTGTTCAGGATCACATCAGGAATTGAAGTTTTCCGAAAATGACTTTGGGCAAAAGCTGGGATACAACATAGACTGGTCACCATTCAATTACAGGGCAATTATGAATGAGGTTCTGAGTGGGAATTAATCAGTGATGTGAACCACCGCACGATCAATGGCAACATCTGAACAAATGAATAGGAAACTAAAATTCTGTTAGCAGCAAAATCCATAGATGGCTCTCAGAAGGCCCCAATCAAGACCAAATTTCTAGCAAAGGTCAAGAAGATATTACTGTATGTAATTATGGCATTATGTTTGTTTACATCTGTAATTAAGCGCCAGTCTGTCTGTGGAAAATTTACCAGCCCACTGGCAAGAGACAACAAAGTATCATGCTAACGACAAACTTAACTCAGCTTGCTTGTTTAACCATATAGTGAATATTTATCGACATGTTTTGTTGTGCCATACCCTACCCCATTTACCAAATTGTTAGCTACACAGCCTCTGTGTGTTACTAACCTGCATTCTTTTCAACTAGATAGCTAACTAAAGAAGCTTGTGTGAATGTGTTCTTTGGACCATGACCGAAACCATCCTTTGTGTTTTTGTGGAAAGTGACGAGCTAATTTGCTTGCTAAGTACCTAACGTGAAGTGTATCTGGTTAATGCTGATACACTGTCTTCTATAGGTTTAAAGCTAAATAGAGCACTAAAAAGCAAGTTACCGGTAACTAACTGTCCAACTAACAAACTAACTAAAGAAACTTGTTGTAAGGTTAATATTATCATGGTATTGACGAAGACCACATCTCATGGAAGGCACAGAAAGTCAGCCATCTGAGTTTGTGTCTTACTTAACTACTTGGTACATTGGCCAGAAAACCAATCATTATTATCTTTGTAAAGGCAGCATTTTCAAGACATCACAATATGATGGTGTACCTAATGAAGTAATTATTCTTATCATGGATACCTGACAGAAGTAGTTGAATCCTTCATGCCAATTCAAGCCGGCCTGGCTCTTCATCGAGGTACACTTGATGCGTCCGCTAGAGTACTTTGGCGGTTGGTCACTTAGAATCACATTGGGCAGCGCTAAAGACAACATGACCACCCACACAGTGACACTCAGCGCCTGGCCCACCCAGACCCGCTGCAGGGCGCCCTTGCCAAAGGGCCTGACTATCTTCAGGTAGCGGTCCAGACTGATGAGGCCGAGCAAGATGATGCTGATGTACATGGTGATGTAGAAGAGAACGGCTGAGTAACGGCAATGGAAGGCCCGCAGAGGACCCCCACCCACGTCGGCGTCGCTTAAGACCCTCAGGGGGATGGTCAAGGTCATTAACAAATCAGCCACCACCTGTTGTTTAAAAAAAAAAAAAGAATTAAAAAAAAAAATCACGATTTGATTCGTCATATTGTACATACATACAATTCAATTCAATTACAAGTTTATTGCCAAATGTGCTGTATGTGTACAGCACAGATGAAATTTCTTCCCTCTCAACCAGACAACAAGAGGAGCCACTGCGGGTGCGGGTACAAAACTATACATAAATCCAACGATCCAGTCATCCATCCTTTGACCAATTGATCCAAACAACCATCCACCCATCTATCCAACATCACAAGTCAAGTCAGCTTTTATTGTCAAATATGCTCTATGTGTAACATACAGCACAGATGAAATTACGTTCCTCTCTGTGCTGCACAAATCACCCATCTATTTATCGAACCATCCATACAACCACTAATATGCTCAAACATCCACCCATCCAACCATGCATTAATCTATCCAATAATGCCATTAATAATGTTTTTATCATGAAGTACTATATCATATTAAATTCCTTTGAGAGATGATGAGCTTTTTCCTAAAAAGAAAAGATGGACGCTGTGAAAGCCATCCTTCCATTGTCTGAAGCGGAGGGTTACGCTATTGTCAGGTCAGGATTGCAAATGAGAATCTGTTCTCAATTGCCTTACCCAGAAAAAAAATCAAGCCAAGCAGCCAAGACGTTGGACACTATTGATATACTGCTAGTACCAAGCTCGTGTGATGCGTAAAAGCCACTTACCACATTCTTCAGAAAGACCATGAATGTGGACTTGCTGGGGATGCTGAAGAAGATCCATGCTGCCATTGAATTGAGCAGCAGGGCGAGTATGAAGAGGATGCTGTACAGGCCGGGGAACACGACCGAGGTCACGCTGATATCCCGGACACACTTGATGGAGGTATTGGCTAGCGAGTCGTTCATTTTCTTTTTTCTAGAGATGACAAGGTCGGATGACAACAGACAAATGCGGTGTTTACAGTGCTAAGATTGAAAGCGTTCTTTCATCATGCTGAATGGTGAAACAAACAAGGAAGGGCAGAGTGCATAGAAGTGGATGGAATGTAGTTTACAAGGTTCTCAGCTCGTGGTCGTAAACATCTAATTGTTTACAGTTACTCGGTGTATAAACACAGCCATGGGTCATGAACCGTATGCTGCTTCATCATTTCGAGAGACAAAGACAAGTTCCATGATATTCATCACTGTTTGGGGATTGCTCTCAACAAGAGTTGGGCTTTGAAGCAATGATTAGCGTTTCAAACCAGGATTACAGTGTCAAATTAAGCTTTCACACAAGTGTTATTATAGTCTGCTTGCATAAAAAATAATTCCAAATTAAATAATGAATCCATTATTATTAGAGAGAATATAGAATATTTTTCCCATATTGTCAGAAGTTCTTCTTCTGCGTATTCTTTGGGAAAACCTTATAGACCAACTGCCAGGCACTGTGCCAACATATACCGCACAGTCCTTTTAAAAAAAGTTAATTTACTTTTGTGAATTCACATAAATGCATCTAAGAACTTTTTGAACGACAAAGTTACTGAAATGATTCATTCTTACCCGTGTCCTTCTGGGTTATGTGACTGTGCGGCATGGGAAGAAGAATAAGAAGATAAGAAGAATACCAGGCGGTGATGTGAGTAACCAAAAAAAAAAAAAAAAAAAACCCGCAATATTTCAGAAGAAGGAAGTAGTGAAATATCCGATTCTGCTGTCTCTGCTCTCATCTGCAGGAAGTTAGCCAAACAAAGGAAACCCAATTGGGCATATTGGTGTTACTTTATTTCTTCAGTTAAAAAACTCCTGTCTTGAAGAGTGTGCGTATCTGTTTGAGTGTGTTTGTCTCTGGAGCTACTGTCGACTTTGCCAGGCTTCCTGTGAGTGAAAGAAACTTTCCTTGCTCACTTCCTGTCCCGATTGTTCCCTGAGAGGTTGGCGCTCGTGAGTGCCAGTCAATGGACAAACACCGTGTGCCTGTTCCGGGGGACCGCCATCCAAGGAATGGTTGTTCACCCACCATCTTAGCCCACTTTTCTTTTCTCATGAGACGATGAAGTCAAAAGGAGATGCTCAACAAATGCATACCATGCGTCAATATACAATTTGTGTCTTGTTGATTCCGAATGCATCCTGCTGTCGTGATGCTTTTATAGCGTTTGACTCCCTTTTGCAACTTTCTATAAATAAAGCAAGCGTCTTGTGAGAGCATGTCAAGCATAATTTCCTGTGTGACTTTGCTTGTTGGATCAGGACCAGAAACGACAGCAGATGGGAAAAGAACGACTCGTAAAAATGCTGGCGTTGAAAAGCGGCCCCTGGGCGATCGTTTCATTAACTTTGCTACTTGGGCCAGTGGTAAAGCGTGAGGTGCAGCAGCTTGAGAAAAGTGATGAAAAACTTATTTTGCTAAATAACAAATACAGGATGTATCATAATTAAGCTTTTCAGAAACTATAGTTCACCAGAGCTACCAAAAATTGGCTCGACGTAGGGTTTCAAGCTAGTGTTTGAAGCTTCGGGTTAAGAGGGCAAACAACGGCCAGGGTTTCAATCCTGACTTAGGGTCACGTGATTTACCGTTGTCTGCAGTTGATCCAACATTTTTAAGGGTGTAAAATAGCCCAACATTGGCTCGGTCCCTTTTGGGCAAAGCATTGGGTTAGCCTATTTCATCCATTTAGCATTACTTTTAACCCAGCAGTTTTCAGAATGTGTTCCTTTTTAAGATTCGATCAGCTTTGGATGTGATATCAAAATCAGTTTTCAATACAATACAATAGATGCTGATTTATATAGCGCTTTCACAACACTGGCAGCTGTAACAAAGCGCTTAACAAAACAGTTAACATAAAGTAAAATAATAAACACAACACATAACATAAAACACGGACAGTCGTGCAGTCCTAACCACTTTCCCGGGACACGCTTTGTTGTTTGAAGCAGTTCGAGATGAAAGAGGAGAGAATCAAAGTGTCCTTTCACCAGTGGATCAGAGACGTCATGCTCAAAATGTGCACACGTTGGCTACAAGCTAAGTTTCAAAGTCAACAAGCTGTAGCATCCATTGACGAAAAAAGAGATTGGTTCACTTCTCCTGTCCCATGGAAATCCATTTCGATTCCAAGCGGCGACTCTCGGTTCCAAATACGCATCGGCGCTCTGCGCCAACGCTCTTCTCTCCTCATCCTCAACTTCAAGCCATCCATCCAGCCGCACCAACGCCGACTGTCCAACAGCGCCGACATCTCCACTGAACAAAACGGGGTTGTGAAAAATGCTGCCCATTACAGGCGCAAAAAACACAAGCGCCCCAGGTCTGTCCAGCACCGACAGTCAATGGCGCCGACATTCCTCCCAATCAAAATCTGTGCTGGTACAGGCGTGCTGCCGAGAAGGCGCAACCACCAAGCACAGATACTTCTCCTTTGACGAATGTCGTGGCCAAAAAACGCTGAAAACAGTCCATATCAGGTCCACACGATGAAACAACAAACAAAATGTGACAAAACAAAAGACAAAAACAACAAAAAAGAACAAAGGCAGAAGGCTGCCTTTGAAATATCGCATGTCTTTAGGTCACCATACTTGCTGGCACTGCATTGCAATATGGGTCGATGCCTTCACAGTATCAGTCAGTGTTGAAGCAGTGGTCCCCAACCTTTTTAGCCCCAGGACCGGTTTAATGTCAGGCAATAGATTCAGGGACCGGCCTTTAAGGTGTGACGGGTAAATACAACAAATAATATGATATAACCCGCATGAAAACGGTGGTACTGTGTTTTAGAACCATGATAAAAAAAAAAAATTAAAAAAAAACACGAATCGTGACATGAGGAACGTCCTACCTGTTTAAACGTGCCTTGAAAATAGGATACACCGCGAATACAAAGTCCATGAAAAATACCACTCACCATCGCTGCATATAATACAGAGTGGGCTTGGTGCGTGGGAATCTCCTTTTGTGAGAAGTACGTATTTTAAGTAGGACTCCTGATACTGTCTAGTCAACGTAGTCTTCTTTTTCTTGAAAGTCGTAGGCTCCTCTTCTGTCTCCTGGCTGGGCATTTTGCTCTTCCCAAAGCAACTTTCCAAAGACGTTTGTCTTTTTTTACTCATTTTGCTAGCTCCAGGGTTTAATTTTAGTTTTAACCTATCACGTGACCGAGAAGCGCGCCCTCACCTGCGTCAAGAGTGACATACTGTCAACGAAGGTAACAGAGAATCCGGTACGCTTTCAAAATAAAACATCTTTCTGATTCCGAAATGAATAAAAGAGAGGTTATGTAAATTCTTTGTTCTTTCTTTGCGTCCGGTACCAAATGACCCACGGACGGTATCGGTCCGCGACCCGGGTATTGGGGACCTCTGTGTTGAAGAATATTTCTGACTTGAAATATCACTACGGCCTTACTGTAAGTTTTGCTTGCACAGTTTGGAAAGTACTGTATCTCTGAAAAGTATCATACAAACCGAAATTAACATCTTTGTCATTAGTGTTGTGTCTACAGTGCCCAGTCCACAAGTGCAGCCCCCTGTCAGGCAATCGCCCCCCCAGTGCTTCTTTCATCATTGAATGGAGGATGTAAACCTCGCTCACCGTTAAGTTAGCCCCAGACAAAAATCCGTGCCCCTTTTTTCTCATTGCACGCCACAAACTAATGACTTTGTCCCAATTAAGAAGCCCATAAAGATGCTTTTTTAATGTACCTGTAAATTATAATGTTATTTATTTATTTATTTATTTATTTAATAGTTACCATGGGAGACCTGAAATAAATTAAATATTGACATTTTCCAGGTTTAGCACCATTCACTGAATAAACCTGAGTGCGTTTATACGACTCCTTTGGATCTCATAAGTGCTTTACAATGTGCACGGCCTCATTCACACGCTCACAGAAACACGAGAGGATTCGGCCAGGGGGACATGTGAGGTGCCAACTGCTTCATTATCACACTCAAGGCCTCCATGATATGTGGTATAGCTTATCATTTACTTTCTTAACGATTCACACATCCTAGCCCTCAAACCCCTCAAAGTAGGGTGTCAAGCATGGATTTGGCTTCGAACAAGAATTACCGTTTCAGATTAATTTCAATGCCAATGTTAGGGCTTCAAGCCAGGATGATGGTTTCAAATCAGGGTTAGAGTACCAAAGTCTGTTTTCAAGACACTTTTACGATTTCAAATTAGGGGTAAATCACGGTTAGGAATAGAACCAAGAGTGTTTGAAACTGGTGTTAGGGTTTCAAACTCAGGTTTCAAGACGATTTTAGGATTTCATACAGGGATAAGGATTTCAAAGTAAGGCTTCAAGCCTGGGTTATGGTTTTTCAACAGTTTAAACAGTTGCAATTTTGCGTTTCCAGTCAGGTCTAGGTGAAATCACAAGGCTTCAATACATGATTAGTGTTACAAAGTAGGGTTTCAAATAGTGTTTGATGCCAATGATCGGATTTCAATTCAGGATTTGAGTTTAAAATAGGGTTTGGGTGTCCAAGCCAATGTTAGGATTTCAATTCCGGTAAGGTCAGCGTTTCAAAGTTGGGATTCAAGCCAGAGTTTCGGTTTCAAATAAGGGGTTTTCATCTGAGTTAGGATTTCAACTTTTGGTTTCCAGCCAAACTGAGAGCTTCAAAGTAGGCTTTCAAAACAGAGTTGGGGTTTGAAAATGCTGTAGAGGTTTTAAGTGGTTATATCTTTCCAGAGTTCGGTTTATACGAAAGCCTAATTTCCTCAGACTGTGTTTCAGCAACACGTTTGGAGGGAAAACACATGTTACCGCAATTCTCAAACGTCACATTTAGCTCAAGTGTGTATCCGTTTTACAGTTGCACTTAAATGAGACTCCCTTACAACATATACGAGGTGACTGCCCTGGGATCGCCTCCCTCATTCCAAACATGACATTTTCATAACCCGCAGTTAACTCACTGACTGCACGCACGTGAGCAATCACAGGCGCTCGCTTGTTTGAGGAACACCATTTACGTAACAAACAAATCCACACTGTGTGCCAAAAATGAGAACTGAGAAACTGACTGGACAAAAATTCATTTGAACATATTTTTCTCAAATTTCATGCTTTGTTTGCAACCCTGAAAACAGCAATAAGAGAACAGTCCTTTATCCCAACCGCTGTTCAAAGAAAGAAGCCTTACAGGGAACAACAGGAAACTGAACTGAGCTACATCCTTGCTGATCACTTGCATCATGCTGAGGCTGTGTTGAGGCGACCCCCACTGCCAGGAGAAAATAACTATTGTGTTTGTATTTGTTAATAAATAGGAACTCCTACATTCACTCACCACAATTGTAGGCATATTTGCACATAAAAGACTTCTTGTGAAAGGTTCTCAACCGACACTCATTAAAAAAAAAAAAAACACAAAAAAAAACGCTTTAAAAAGCAAAGTGGAATGATTTGAAAAACATTATACGTATTTCAAAATAGTTGCGGAAAAGGTGCTGACTGAGAACTATGTAGTGCTGAATTGTGGAGATATACAGTCCATCCTCATAACGAATCTGTACGTTATAACGGTAGTTCGTTGTAACCATTTCCAATAAAATGGCCGCCAACTACGATGTATCAACATTTATAGATGTAAAAACATGAACATGTAATACCATATAAACATGTCAATTCCAAATACGTGTATCCAGTATGAAGAAAAAATGACTTTATAAGACATGAAACAAACAACTGTAGCGTTCCTATATTCAGTCAGCAAATGAAAAGTGCCTTCTTCAGTTCAGGATGTGCCATGCCCCGAAGCCATTTACGATCATGTTTCAATCTATTGGCCTCGAACTCTGCCATGAATTTGTTGCCATTACAGATGATTGTCGAAATCGGCGACTTTGCCAATTCGTCGTCTCGGCTGTTCTTCGTCTGGGAGACTCCCTTTCGAAAGTGAGAGACAATTTCAGCCTTCACGGACAGCGAGATTAGCTTCCGTTTACCAGACATGTTTTCAGATCATGTCCTGAGGACCGTGCGGTGCCTCCGGAAGTCCAACAATGTGCGAGTCGATCAGTTGCGTTGCAAAGCAACGGGGAGGCGGGAATCCTGCGCTGTACATTTTGTTGATAGGCAAGGTCGCAGTGGCAGTTCGCTTCCCATGGTTCACTGCAACAAAGGCCTTTTCACTATTTTGTGGGGAAAAATCTGGTCATTCTAATGAAGTTTTAAAGGTGTTTGTTGTCAGCAAAATGGAATATGGAACACGGTAGCTAAAATATGGTTTATTGTTGTCCAGAAAAATATTGAAACAGACGGCTACGGACGTGGCATCGACGGTGTCAGTCGAGATATACATGCTCCTGTACTTGTCACTATTACATACAAATGTACTGTATGGATGACAGATGTTCGAGTGGCATACCAAAAACAAGGAGGCACATTTACCCGCATTGTGCGTTGGGCTTTGTGAGCGACACTGCGATGGTTGAGGGGTACCACAAGCTATAATGAGAAGAACAGAACAGTATAGCCTAGGATCGACCCTGAGGTTGCCATGTCCAAATTTATTGTAGTTTTTGTCGCTCCTATGTCGTGCATTCTTTTGTACTTTGCAATTTAGCCTCGAAAAGTGACATTGAGTGTCTTGTTTATGCAATTAAAAGTGGGATAGGTGTTGAAAGGAATAACAGAAGTCAAATAAAACAGCGCACATTTTTCTTTCCCCCCTCCCCAATGTAAATATGAGAGCAAATAAATAAATAAATAAAACAAAAGATCAAAATGAAAACTATATGGCGCAATAAGCTTTTACATGGCATCATAAAATTTCTGCTGTCAGAGTAGAAATTTTATAAGGTGGTTTTATGTCCAATTTGTGTCGCTCCTACAAAAAGAAAGACAAAGTGCACCAACCAGGGTTTTTATTAGACTGAATAGAGACTACAACATAACACCATTTCAATTTAATTCAATTCATTTGGTACACCTACGCAGTCTAATGAGATCGAATACAAGAAACAATTCTGCTTTTACAGCGATCACGCTGCTTCTTTTTTATTGATTTATCAATGTGTTTGCTAATGTTGTTGTAGTTTTTATTTGCATTATATGATGACAAAGCAATAATAACCAGAAAAATTGACGAGGTTATGCTCTTTCTCCACAATGTCGGGTCTGGCAAGATTAGAGCCTCTTCAACCAGACAAACGCAATCTCCAAGCAATGAAAGGGAATCACTGAATGGTATGCTTCTAGTTTTTTCAAGTTAAAAATAATAATAATAATAATAATAATCAAAGGGAAATGTGTACTGCATTGGTAGGTCCGCTTCCATTTACCATTTACCTTTAGTATGTTGATGAATGTCATGTTTTGGGGTCATTAATTAAATAAAACACACTGATATATTATTAATAATAAAACAATTCTATCCATGAAATAATAGTGACCTTGAAATGAGGTAATCTGTAATCCAATCCTTAGCCACTGGAGGGCAGCTGCTACATGTCCAGTATTAACAACACAGTATAAAAGGAGCAAAAGTGACTAAAGGCTGAACAGGCTACATGATGGGACACAAAGTCATTTGCCATTAAAGTAGCTGTCAATGTAACATTGAAAAAAACAAATTTGTGTGTATTGTGTTTTTCCACTAGCTGGCCTCCAATATGCTCAAATTCATTTTAATGAAATTCACATGACTATTGCATCTGTATTGCATCATATAACATGTTCCCTTTAAAATACACAGTCGCCTAGAGTACATATACTGTGGAATGCCAAGAGACTTCGAGCCTGTTTAATACATTTTTTCATACAAATCAATGAGTGACACAATCAAACTTTATTGACAGTGCTTTTCACTCCAGAATGTCAATCAAAATACTTCATAAAAGAACAGTCAAACAATTCTTTAGAGTCAACATATGGCCTTTAAAAATGATTAGACGACTTTTTGTAAACAACATCACAAAACGGGTTGTAAAGTACCCAAAATACATTCAGTCACATTTTTAATGTTGAAGACTCAGCACAGTGCAAAAAAGACAAGATACAAAGTAAAAGAAACAATGAATAACATACAAACACTGAGTCAAATGGTTCTTGCTCTGATCAACCAGAGGACGGAAAAATTATTCAGGGCCCACTGAGCCAAATTAGAAATCTGATTGGTGAAAGAAACAGTCACATTGCTAATTTGTAATATAGCATATTTTACATTACATTAGCCAGCACTATATTCCGAAGACCCTCAATTTACGGCTTATTTCTACAATATTTAATTTGGTTAAACCACACTGAATATGTATCTAGTTGTGCCGTTGCCTCACCCCATGACATCTGAATTATGGCCTGTTTTACTGCCACTTCCCCATCTATAGAGCGAGCTTGATGATTATCGTAGCAAGGATTTTACATCGATCAACCAGGACGAGATCTGAAGAAGACCACTGAGGAGGTGTTGCTGTGTTGGATTCTGCATCGACCGATGAGAATATCATAAGGAGAACCAGTTCCCCAAAGGCGAACTGCCTGCGGGGTTTCATTTCATTAAATTGTACAGGGATAAATGTTGCCAATGATGCATCCGCTGTAGCCCGGTCACCCTGGAACGGGGGATGGATCCCTCTATCCCTGATTCCTTCTCAAGATTTTTTTTTCATTATTTTTCCTGCCCGGCTGGGAGTCGACACCAGAGATGTTGTTGTCGTTTTATGTACTGCGGGCCTCTGAGGCTCTTTGTGGACTCATTTAAAAGTCATATAAATCCAATGACAGATTATATTGGCATGGCAGCAAAAAGAAGCTGAAATCTGCTTTTAAATGTAACAACCACATACATGTACTGGAAGCAATGCACCCGAGAGAAAACTCTCTGAAATGAAGATAATAGACTGGTGATAAAGAATTAACACAATTTTTAGGAACAAATATTATACCTGCAGAGGAGACACTGTCACCCTGATGGTCCAATACTGGCACACACGTTTTTCAGAGTGGTGCTGTTAGAATCAGTGTCTGAGCCCCTCTCGAGCAACCAGCTGCATGTGCCAGGTGGCAGCCTGAGGGACTTGAACAGCGTAGTCCTGAAGGACTTGCAGAGGAAGAAGTAGATGAGGGGGTCTAGGAGTGAATTTAGGGATGACAGGAAGAGCGTGCTTTCTTTGAGCTGGAAGAAGAAGAGCTTGAGTCGGCAGTTGAAGAGGAGGCCCCGTGTCTGGCTCATTGTGTACGGTACACGGGCGAAATGGAACGGCACAAAACACAGGAAAAACACGGCCAGGACCAGGAAGACGTTGGTGTTCATTTTTCTCTTAGCCTGCTCTTTCTGCTTGGCCGAAGCCCTTAACCTCTCGGGACGTCGAGTCGTGGTGCGCAAATACGATTTGTACAGCTCTTTAGTGATTAGCGTGTAGCACACGATCACAATCAAAAGGTTCCCCCAGAAGATAACCTGACACACGTGGTTGACCACCTCGTGCCAATAAAGCCCAGCCTGGTCCTTTAAGTCGCTGCACTTGAAGTATGGCGACCGTGGCGTCTTACCGGTCAGGATCATGTTGGGGAGGCAAAGCCCAAGAAGGACCATCCACACTACGGCGGATAGGAGCTTCCTGCGGGCCAGCCGCTTGGCATTGGTGCCCTTGAACGGCGCCAGGGTCTTCCTGCAGCGGTCGATGCTGATGAGCCCGAAGAAGAGGATGCTGATGTACATGGTCAGGTAGAAGAGCACCGAGGAGACCCGGCACACGAATATTCGTAGGCCAGTGGAGGCCATGTTGGAGTCTGATAACACCTGCAGTAACACAGAATTCAGAGAGGAAATGTTCAGCCCTCATTTGGTATACCTACACCACGTAACGTGGATCGTCCATCCATCCATTTAATCGGCAAGGCAAGGCAGTTTTATTTACATAGCACATTTCATGTACAAGATAATTCAATGTGCTTCACACATCCAAAAGCACAACACCTAAAAGCACTTACAAACGGCACAGCTGAAGACATTCGAAGGCAAAGCAAATGGAACAAAAACAGCTTATTTATACTACTAAAAGAACATACATTGACAACACATTTTATAAACACATTTATAAACAATATATTTAAAGACGGCGGCACGGTGGTCCACTGGTTAGCACTGGTTGTTTAACATGGTTGTTTTGTGGGTCATTCAGGTGATCCAACTTTTGGGGTTCAATAAATTGAATTGAATTGAATTGAATACAACTTTATTGTCAAATAACATATAGCACAAATTTCTTCCCTCCCGCTGCGGATGTCCGCACGGCCATTAAAAGAAAAGTTAACAATAAATGACAAAATAACAATAAATAAATAGTCCCCTTTTGACGCAGTTCGGGTTATTTTTGACCCAGCTATTTTTAGAGCGTGGATGGTCAATCTAAATGTATGGGGCAGAACATCCACATTGATTCAGTGTAAAGCAAGTTGGTGGAGCACCAAAAAAATCACATTTATGAAAATATTTCCTTGGATGTGGGAGTGGTCGGTAGGGTAGCGGCCAACATTGGCCACCACATCGCACTGCCCCTGGGTATAGGCTCAAACTCACCCGTGACCTTAATGAGGATAAGCGAAAATGAATGGATGGAAAAGTAAAATGAACACCACCTAGAAAGCATCAATCAAGGCCAAACATTAATTTTGTAAAGGTATCATTTGTGACATAGCCCTTTTTTTGGATTTCATTTAAATTCGGTCAGGTGTTTGATGAACTTCTTCAATGATCGCAGCTCAGTAAAACTGTTTGGAGGGAAATCACTTTTGGAAGTTCAAACTGAAAATGAAAAATGTTTCTGGCTGCCGACTTGATGCTTTAAAGTGCTCCATGAATCTTTTAGATGACTCTATTCCCCATGTGAAATGTCAGACTGCCGTTTACTACCGTTTCACTTGCCTCAGTCTATAGACAGTATTACATTCAGCAGACTGGATGGCTTATCGTGAAAAACACATTTACGACGTGGCAGCCTAAAGTAGTGCATCTTGATGGGAAGCAACATATCTATAAATTAGCATAGTCGTGGGTGCACATAATGTAGGTGTGGTTCTCAGAGGAGCAACAGAGTTTGTTGCATGGTGCTCGTTTCTTTCCGACCCTCCGACTTCACTGGATGAATTTAATGTAGGTGTGCATGTTAAATGTTATAGTTTAATTGAGGGACTTTTCGAGAGGGGAAGTAGAGAACAAACAGAGATAATGTGGTTGCACCCTCTTAACTTGGGATCTGTCTGTCGACAGAAATCTCAGTGCACGTCATAAGTAGGCAGAGTGGGGGTTGAGTATCCAAGTGCAGGGACGCAGGGAGGCAAGGCAGGAGTGCAGGATGTATTCAAAAACACTACATTCCTTTTCCAACATCAAAACGAGGCATTTGGAATCAAATTAAAAGAAGTCCAAAAACCAAGAAACAAAGTAGCAAACCAACACGGTGAATAGACTCATCGACGAGAGCGTGACAGGAACAAAACAGGAGTAATGATCCAACAAAGACTGGGGGGAAAAAAAGAAACAAGGAACACCTGGACAAGACATCAGTAGCTCAGGGAGCTGAGATGTAGACACAAAACACAAAGGATCGGGCCAATAAGAACAGGTGGACAGGAAAACGATATAGACAAAGACATCAAAAGGAAAAGCATCCATCCGTCCATTTATCCTCAAATGGTCGCGGGGGTTGCTGGAGCCTATCCCAGCTGTCTTAGGGCAGTAAGCGAGGGACAATTGCAGGGCACACAGAGACAAACAACCATCCGCGCTCACACTCACACCTGGGGAATGTTTAGAATGTCCAATCAGCCTGCCATGCACGTTTTTGGAATGTAGGAGGAAAGCGGAGTAACTGGAGAAAACCCACACAGGTACGGGGAGAACATGCAAATTCAACACAGGAAGGCCGGAGCTGGAATCGAACCTGGTACCTCTGCACTGTGAGGTCGACCTGATAACCACTGGTACACCGGGCCGCCCCAGGAAAAACATGACAAAACTAAAACCAATCAAAACCAGATCAACATAAACAGGTGATGACATCCTCTGCTATTTAAAGCGGCTCTCATTAACCCCAGATCAATTTCAGCTGTTCCCTGAGACTTTTTCCGGACATTTTATATTCATTCGAACAAAAACCTGAGGATTTGACTGCTATTTCTAACCTTTTCATACTTCCTTTGACCTTGTCTTAACCCTCCAGTTCCATCTTAAGAAAATCAGCCCCCAAACATGATATTGCTTGATTGTGCTTGATTGTAGGTTTGGTGAGCGGTGTTGTGTTTGAGTTAAACACACTTTTTGAAAATGATGGGCAAAAAGTTCAGCTTTGCAAAAGCACTTTTCAAATCTTCCAAATGCAGGTCAGAAAATATTGTTGCGGTCCATCCTGAAATCTGCATGAAAGTCAGATGACCGAACCACTCCATCGCCAGTGACTGTCATCGATCTTAATCCCGCATGAAACGATCGCCCATGGGCCTCACCTTGAAAGGGAACGTGAGGGTCATGATGACATCGGCGACCACGACGTTCTTAAGGTAGATGACGAAATGTGAGCGCGAGGGGATGCGCAGGAACACCCACACCGCCAGGCCATTGAGGGACAGCCCGGCAAGGAACAGGACGGAGTAGAGAACGGGGAAAACGACCGTCTTGACGACATTGTCGCGCGAGCAGGTCAGGTTGCTGATGTTGCCTCGGAAGACAGTCTCGTTTGGGTCCATGAGGAGAGCTGGCTGAAAAATACAGTTCAGTTTTAATTATGTAACATAAATCACAACAGAAGTTGTCCCTGCGCATTTTACACAAAGCGTACGTCTCGAAACACACCCCTTACTTAGTGGAAAGAAACATTTACTACAGGCTGATATGTTGGTCTTATATTGGACCACAAAGTGGTTCTCAAACCGGGGTCCGCGAGCCGTAAATTTAGGGTTCGCAAAATAACACCGGTCAACTGAAAATTGTAATCAGAAATGGCTTTATGCGTCCCTTAACGTATTGAAGCAGAAATTAAGCCACACCTGAGATTTGAAGGATGTCGATGTTTCTTCAAATTCTCTCTCAAATCTTCCACTTGTGTTTTAGTTTTAAGTTTTTACTGCGTTTGACCGAGTACCATCTGTACAATCCCTACTATTTAGAGGTACATGTGGTACTTATGCCTAACATGAGGTGATCCTTGAAAAATGTTCTTTCCGGGTCCCTGGACCCCAAAAAGTTTGACAACTCCTGGAGTAATGAGACAATATAGTTGAGGTTATTTACTGACCGGCTGGCTTTGTCCCATGAAGATCTCTCCAAGCAGACTGCTATTTGTTTGTCTGCAGCCGAGGTAGGATCCCGCCAGTCTAATGTGACAGTGGCTGTCTGAGTGCAGACTTTTGCTCTACCTTCTGCTTTCTCTTTCCTGTCTTGCGGAAACGCTGCTGACAATTGAAAAGTCAAATCAAGTGGCAGCAAAAGGCAATCTCAACAGGAAGAAACGGTCGAAAAGCATCGCAACACTCCTTTCGTCATTGGTCTGTCTCTGTTGATGACCACGATAAGCGTACATGGTCGTGTATTGACTGGTTGTCTTGCCCAAGGTCACCAGGGAGAGGACAGACTCTTCGTGCAATCGAGTGAAGAAGCAACATATGTGGATGGAAGTTATGAAATCATACGGGATACGCCAACATGTACATGCAGGCCAGATCATGTCGATCTATTTTATATACCGCTTGTTTAGGTCACCTCTAAGCTGGAGCTTATTCCGTGGGAATTTGGGAGAAGTTGTTGTTGAATTCAGTCCATGTATATCTGGATACAGATACATATTTTAATCTACTTAAAAAATGTATCTGGATCCATCTGATTTTATTTTGTGCAAATACTTGAGTATGTAAATGAGTAAATTCTGCACACTCCGCGTACATATGGAGAAAGAAAACCATTCGCTCTCTCATTCACACCAATTGACCATTTCAAGGCTTCAATGAAGCAATGAATGCATGTCTTTGAAGAGGGCATGATGCCCTCTGAACAAATGATTTGATTTAAACTGGACCAGTTTTCTGAGGAAATGAAAACACGCTCGTGTATGGGTTGCTTTCCATTTTGCATCACATGCTCTTCAGATGTATTTTCACCCCGTTCATGTACCAACCGAAAGTAATGCTGAAGCTTCCCCTGTCTGGGCCCAAACAGATACGTCAGCATCATTCACTTCCTTAATTTGGCTTCATGCACGCATGCCTACAGTACATAATAAACATATTGTCGGCATTGTACATGCGTTTACTGTAAGGTTGAATTTTCTTCTTTGCTAATGCAAAATGCTTGTAAATGAGGAATACATTGAGCACTACAAAACTGTTATATTTAAAATCTGTGAGGGAACGATTCCACTGTGATATGCAAAATGCTGTTCAGCTTTCTCTGTGTTCCGACTGCGTAAAAGGCTCTGAAAGTGTATCGACCGAAGTGTGGACAAAAATACTTTTCTTTTAATAACGAAACAAATGGCCCACCATATTGAATTGTCAACTTTTAACAGATTAAAACGGTATTACCGTAAATTATGTATTTGAAGTCAAAGCTAAGTCAATCCAGTTATTGTCAAGCAAGTCCAAAGCTGAGTTACTTAAATAATGATAACAGCATCAATGTTTGCCTTTGTGACGTTTCATGACATATTTGTGTAAATGCTAATCTTAGCATTTCCCCTTTTTTGGAAAGTAAAATTGCACCAGTACTTTGAATGACCTTCTCTCAGCAGTATCATCATAGTTTTTGATGAACACCAATTACATTACAAAGGCATGTCTCCTCTCAACCAATCATCCTTGCACTTGCAAAGCTTTCTCATTAGTTTTGCCAGCTCTGGATCCAATCCCGGCTGATTTTTGCGCAACAGGCAGCGAACGCCCTTGATTGATCGCCAACCAATCACAGGCTTGCCCAACAGCATTCACCAAATGGAATGTGAACAAACAGCCACGCACACAAACCTGTACACATGGAAATCTTCATCAGCTAGTTCTCAGACAGACAGGAAGAGAGGAATGGGGTGAGGAACACACAACTGAGCCGAATATCTACTTAGAGTCAGCCCCCGTGCAGTGTAATAATGCTCGGTAAGAGATCGTAGAAAAGGTGATGTCGAGAGGACTCTGGTTAAACAAATCGACATCCGGGTGCTGCCGCAGCTGTGTCATGACAAACTGCGACCTCTCACCTGTGAGAAAAAACAGCTGGCAGTCGATCATGTTGTCATTCTGGCAGGGCGACGTAACCTTTAAGCACACAGATGGTGGTCCATGTTTGTTTGCAACAGTCTTTTGCATTCCCGCATCTCCTTAGTCAGGTCAAAAACGCAGCACAGTTGAAATGTGTGTGTCACCCTTTGTTTGGACAGTGTAAGGTTACTTTGAGCTACTGCTGCTGGCCGACGATGGAGGGTTGGTACCAGGGTCTGTCTTCGACAAACATTTTATTATCTCTACCTTTCCACTCTATTTGAGAGAAATAGACCATGACATTTCTGCCTTCCAGCACACACGTTTTTTTCCATGCAGTGCACATATGGTGACCTGCTCCTGCCCTCTCTGATGCTCAAAAATCAAACCAGAAAAACACAGAACGCTCAATTTGTAATGATTTGGAGCTAAATAGTCACATCAAAGAACAGGTATGCTGCACAGGCTCAGCCCAAAATTGCTCCCATGAAATTGAAGCTGGATTATCGACATCATCCACCAAGGTAGCAATGCGTTGACTGAGCGAGTGCTTTTGGGCCTCCTGACAATTTCCAGTATCCTCGTGCAGCTGCGGAAACGAGTTCATCGTGCAATATTGGCAACCTCAAAATGCCATATGCCCGGACCGTGGATCCGCTGTAAAACCAATGTTTCATTCTACACAATGACTGGCTTTTGCTTTAATTGAACCCCAAGAGTCTACTTTGATACAGGTTGTAGAGTTGACTGTCTGGATCGATTTGGCACACGGGCTTTCCTGTCTACCAGCGGCTGAGTTGCCGGTTCCATTCCAAACACACAGTAAGAGCTTTGTTTTCAGCTTGATGATGACTCATGGAACTGGTCTGGAGTTTGCATCAGTGCGCAACCTACTTGTGCGGAGGAAACGGGGCAATTGTGCAAGTCATGTGACGTATTATTACCTCCCCTTAAGAGGTTGTTTTTACTGACTGTGCTTCTTCTTAGCAGGGGTTGCAGGCAGTTTCAGCTCCATTACCACCAACCTTAAAAACAAAGCCATATTTCCACAATATTTGCATTCCAAATGGCAAAAAAAACACTCATGCAGAACATCACTTCCTGGCCAAGCCTTTGTGAAGCTTTCAAATGACTCACAAATAATCAGTGTTGGGTTTACAATTCATGACTACAGAGTACTGTAATTTTCTTGCAACGTAGTCTCCCCCATGAGGCTGTAAAAACACTCTTTGTGTGTACCTAGCAGCAGTGAGAAATGTCATTGCTCTTTGACTATTTGTCCGATCATCCCTCTGCCCGTGACAGCAGGATGTGGATATGTGGCTTGCGAGCAGGCAAAAAGGACAACAGCTCCCTTTGAGAGGTTGGCCCGGCCGGGATACCTCACATATTTGACACCGTGTCTCTGTGTGCTCAGCAGAACGCTTGTGTGTGCACACACACAAGACATCAGATGTTAACTTACGCACACAGAGTCGTTCACACTCACAGGTCACTTCATATGGTACACCTGCACAATTTAATGAGATCCAATACAGTAGCTATATCATCCTACTATTCAGTGGTACAGAACAAAAACGTTATTAATGTCCTTAAGTATAAGTAAATTATCCTAACCCTAACCTGAGCTTTATTTTATTGATGACATTTTACTTTTACTCGCTAAATACGAAACTTCTTTGCCGTTCCCTCGCTCCTTTGCCTCCTCTCTGTAACATTCGCACAGCCAACAACAAGGCACTCTAATGTGGTCACATCAGCCTGAAGCCCAGGTCCACATGCTGGCTGCCCAATCATAACTAACTAACTAACTAACTAACTAACTAACTAACTAACTAACTAACTAACTAACTAACTAACTAATTAGTTGCCGCCCTCCTTGCTCTTCTGCCTCATGCATGCACTCATGGTGGACAGTGAGACACTCTAGAGTGGCAATGTCAGCAGACCATCCCAAGGGAAGGTGCTTTGTTGGGGTGCACCCATGAGGAGCTAACTAAATGCACGCCACAAATGCGCCGGATAACCACTGCTCCAAACATCTGCACTCAAATTGGGGAAGGGCAGCTCATGCCTGGGCACAAAAGTGCATCAAATGGTTTTACCCCCAAAAATCAGGAACATTGAAATGCTAGATCAAGTTTGAGTCATGCCTAGTCAAAAGCCAAAGAATACAAATGGGTTTTGAGATTAGTTTTAAAGATGGGCAGCGAGGGGGCTTGCCGAATGTTCAGTGGGAGGTCATTCCAAAGAGAGGGACCAGCAACGGCAAAGGCTCGGTCCCCTCTGAGCCTCCGCTTAGTTCTTCGTACCTCTAATAATGTCTGGTCCGCAGACCTGAAGCAGGTGTGTCGGGGCGGAGAAGTTCAGGGAGGGAAGGTGGAGCGAGGCCATTGAAAGATTTGAAAACAAATAATATGATCAAAGAACTCTGAAATGTATCGGGAGCCAGTGAAGGGATGCCAGAGTAGGAGTTATGTGCTCCCTCTTACGACTACCAGTCAAGAGGCACGCAGCAGCATTCTGGACCAACTGGAGACGCTTAATGGAGGATTGGCTGACTCCAAAGTAAAGTGCTCTCTGTTCACTTTGTAGGATCCTGAAGGTGTCGAATCAGTACTTTTACTTATAGCAGTCTTTTTACAACTTTTTACACGTTTTGCCAGGTCTTTGTACTTCTACTCAAGTACAGAGTCGAGTACTTTAGCCACCTGTGCGACTAGTCTGCAAATATAAGGTGAGACCCAATAAAACGGCGCAACTGTTTGCTTGCCTTACTTCAGTAAGACAGAGCTATTCACGGTGTCTTTTTCTCCTCTGATGTCACTGAGGTATGTGCTCAATGCTGCTAAAACAGATGCACTGCAGCAGGTGGTCTACAGATAATTTCATGTCATTTATCTCGGCCTTTTCAAACCGAACCTGTGAAACTGTTTACCGGTTTTATAGGATGACACAAATTTCATTTTGTCGGTTCAGTTTCCTCAGATACGTTGCATTTACATGCCGAGCCTATTATACGCTAGCATGGGCTTTGGTTGTAAAAGAGCACTTTGACATTCTTAATTAGGTGTGCTGGCCTATCTAAAAAAGATTGAGGTCTGTGGTACGTCGTAATCCGGAGAAGCGTTGATGTCCTCAGAGTAATGAGTGGAGCAGTAGGTTTACAGTAGTGGGCCCTACCGATTCACATGATGATTCTCTGTGGGGCACAAACAACACATCTGTAGACAATCAGAATAGAAACCCGCCAGTGAAGTACTTCCACTGTCCTCAAGCCAGATGAAGAATATGGGCAAATTAAAATCTCTAAAGCATTCCTTTATTCAACAGCTAAATACGGGAACCTAAATATTAGAAACAGCTGTTTGTACGATGCAGCTCGGTTCCACACCAATGCGGCTACAATAACATGCATCTTAAATTAAGACGACTTTGTAAAGGCAGCATTATGGATCACATTGGATGACAAGTATGATGTACCATCATCGCAGTACTCATGTTTTTTAAAAGATAACCCTGACAACATAGCCCGCCAACAACAATTGGGAAACAACATACTAATCGTCTTATGTGCCTTATTAGAAAGATTTGTTGTAAATACACTTCATCAGCCTAAGTTTATAATTTGACATATACAAGTCATAACACAATATGAATACAATATTTTGTCAGCAATAGCAATAATACACGAGTGATTGTGCAATAGTCAATATTTCGGGGTTTCACATTGATGATACAGCCCTTATTGCTCTTTCACATTGGCCATTTAACATGTCATTTTCACAGCTTGCTGGTCTGTGTGTAAAGTACCAGGATGTAAAATCGGGACAGGGGTGGCGCCATTAGGTGGTTTCCAATAGAATATCAGAGGCGTAACAGGGTGAAGTTTAACACTTGTTTTGTGGTGGATGGATGTTTACTCTATCTTAATATTTTGTCTGACTCCTGACATACTTGACCAGATTGAATAAACATCCTTTTTTTTTTAAAGACACGCATTTCAACTTGAAGGTCCACCGTTGTGTAAACAAGTATAAAAAACATCCGTTATATATGATGAAATACTGGTTATTTTATAATCTTTTGAATTTAAAATTGTGTGCCTCGGTGTAAAGTAGCAAGTATAAGAAGCAACTGACCACAAAAAAAAGAAAAAGGCCTGCAGAATAAACAGCCTTTGGATGTTTGAGATGACCAAAGCATAACAGCTTCCCTGAAGACGACGTGGAAAGAGCTTAGTTGTGGCTAAAAGGGCGAAGTGAGAATTGTACAACAGAGGTGTGAAATTATATCGCCGGGGCAGAAACTGAGAAGTACGCACTCGCTACTCCACTGTGCGTTTGTCGGCGCATCGGCAAGAGTGAACTGCGTGTATCAAATGTTTTGAAAAGGTTTTTCCACTTATGCGCTTGGCTTGCAGTAACGCGAGGCAACCGATCCTTAGCGGCCTCTTACGGAATTTGTTGCCAACTTGAGCATCAAAACTAAAAGAACGGAAAAGTTCTGTCTTGAGATGTCCATGTTCGGGCCTCAAGCAAAGCGGTTTAAGCATGGAATTCTAGACCATAAGCTAAAAATATGTCACACCTTTCCACTTTTTGCCATGACCCTTTTTTCCCTCACTTCATTCCAGGTTATCAGTATGTTGTGAGCACGGCCCTGAAACATTTTCGAATGACAATGTGAGCAACGAGTCACCAGAGATTTGTTTTTCCACTTTCTTCAAGGTGGCCAAGGAAACCCTCCTACCCACCTTGTGCCGAGCAAAAACACTGTGTATTTATCAGACCGGAAGCCAGTCTAACTCTCTCTTCAGCAGCTGCGGTCCCACCGCCAGACAAAACACACACTTCCTTTCGGTAGCCACATATTAACCATATCCCAAACAATACAATTTTGCCTGAAACACCCACGCGGAAGGATTAAAATGCAATAAGGCATATTTTAAATCATTATTAAGGTCTGAGGTGTTATTCCCGCTGTAAGATGAACAAATTAACTTCACGACCCACACAGGGCCTGTGGTGTGAATGATGAGCTGTTTCGGGAGTGTGACATAATGATGATGTGGATTTTTTAAAATGAGAAGCCATACGAAAGCATTTAGCAAGTCATCTACATTCCAACACTTATGGAATCCACTCAATATTCTCAGCAGTTCTTGACTACTCTCCTTCCACCCCATTGTTGAGTGTTCTGAACATAACCTCCTTGCGCAAAAGAACATTAAATGTGAGGTTGTGCAAGAGTTAAGGCTATTTGCCTTTATTAAAATGTGATTCATTCAAGCCACAATTGAAGTCTTTTCAAGCGAAATTGGTTCCAGTTGCTCTTAAAGTAATCAAGCATCGTGAGAAACAACCAAATGAGTGTCAGGGTTAGAGTTGTACTATTTATTTATTTTTTTTGCATTTATCTTCTAAAGAGACCAACATTCCTCATAATTAATCACAGCATTAATTACACCAACCAGTCTCATAGATCTAAAATACGGTCCATTAGTAGAGATTTCGTTCACAACTAAAACGAATTCAACTGTGGTTCCCACTTCAAAACACATTAATCAAAGGCAAAACTCCAAACGAAATGAAGTTTTAACAATTTATTTTTCTCCCATACATTAGTAGGTAGTAAACAAATATAGACTGTATTATTACAGATAAGCATAATGTATAACATTACTGTAAATTCTTGTGTACAACACAATCAATCACAAGTCTTTAAAATTGCTTTAAGTGTGCACTGAAAAGAAATAAATGCATCTACTTCATCACGTAATTATGGAATTGTGTATCGTAGCAAAAAAAGTTATGTATCCAGTGTTAAACAATCTTCATACGGTAACTACATTTTCATAAAACAAAGAAATAAACAACATTGTATGGCTTGGTCTTGCAAGATTTGTACAACAAAGTCACCGACGGTATCTTCTTAATTTGCTGTTAGAGGACAAGCTGCTGACAAGACTGGATGTGCTGTAATTGAATCCACATGTGTGGCCAGCATTAGACCCTCAGTGGAATCACTCTGGGTTAGAGTGTATGAACACTTTCTGCTCCTAGAGAATGCCCCTCCCCCCCACACACACCCCCACCCCACACATGAATGAGTCTCAGCTATGATTTTCCAGACATTCATTTCTCAAGTCACAAAAACAAATAGCTGTCTCAGCAGATGTTTTTTGAAGTTAGTTTTCGTTTCTGATTCCATTCAATTTCTTTTGTTTCTTCAGTCCTTTCCTCATTTTGATAGTGTCAGAGATTCTTCACTAACAAAGTCCAAGGTGACATTCTCTTGAATTCGCATACAGATGGATCCTTTATCCTACAGATCAAAATCTTTGTTGAAATCTGTTTCCTTCTGCCATGACCTTTAGAGTACATGCACATAAACAGCCTTGAGGTCTGAACCCAGTTGGTTCTTGGCTACACACTTGTATGTGCCCGAGTCAAAGGCTGAAAGCCTCTGGACTACAAGCGTACCTTGGGGGTGAAGCATTTCACTTCCCAATCGCCTCCCTTGTTGTGCCACTGACAGAATGGAATGATCAGGCAGCTCCCAGGTAATCTCCGGTTTGGGTACACCAATGGCAGCGCAATTGAGCTTAATGGGGGTTCCTGCCATTAAACTCAAGGTAGGAGGTGGCATTGTAGTGATGCGTGGAGGATAGGCAATGATAACAACAGGGACTGTTAGCGCAGCTTCGCCAGCATCATTCCGAGCTCTGCAGACATAGTTCCCTCGGTCATATAGAGTAGTCCCCTGAACAACTAGGGTACCATTCTCTAGCAAATTGTAGCGGCCCAGGACTTGAGGCTGGGTAAGTGTGTGGCCTCCAGGGAGGGTCCAGTAGATCCTGGGTTTTGGACTTCCATCAGATAGACAGTGAAGGAACAGAGGATCGCCGAACATACTGCGTATCATGCCCCTCGGTCTCGTGAGGATGTAAGGCTTTTGCCCCACATCCAAAACGATGAGCTTTTCAATATAGCCCATGATGTTTTTGGCACCACAGCGATATTTCCCAGCATCCTCAATACGAGCGTTAAAGATGACTAAAGACCCATCGTTATCCACCCGTCTGTGGGTGTTTCGCCCACTGCTAAGCCGTGCTCCATCAGGTAGAATCCATGTGATATCTGGCTTTGGGTGTCCATCAGAAGAGCAGTTCAGAACAATGGTTTTCCCCAAAGGAGAGACAATCCGTTCATTGAAAGGGTTTCTAAAAATGGGTCTTCGGAGCATGTTGGTAACCTCGAGTTCTACCACTAATACGGATTCTCCGCCATCATTTGTCGCCATGCAAATGAATTCTCCGGTATCAGTAGGACGTACGTTACGAATTTCTAAAGTCCCATTATGATGGACATTAATCCTACCACCGAAGTACGGCGCCTTCAAAAAGATGTTATCTGGCATTATCCAGGTGATAGTTGGAGTTGGATTGCCTTCAGCTTTACAGTCTATGAGTTTCCTAGAATATTTTGTCGAGAAATCTTTTAATACAGTCCTGTTCTGATGGTAGCCGTTGATCACAGGTGGGTTACCACCAATTTCAAGTTTGTAGACTCTTCTGTTTTCGCCACCTGGGTTGCGAGCTACACAAACATACTCTCCGCCATCGATTGGTTTTGCATTCCTTATATCCAAAGAGCCATTTACGTGCAACAAGTAGCGTTCATTTGATGCTGCTATGACATCATTGGTAGGCAACATCCACAGGATCCTAGGTTTGGGTTCACCAACTGCTTCGCAGTCAAAGCGAATGTTACCTCCGGGTTTCAGTCTGGCATAAGTCTCACTCTTTTGGCGTATCTTGGGAGCAGCAGTCACGACAGTGATATGTACGTGCATTTCATCTTTTCCCACTTGGTTTTCAGCAATACAAGTGTAGTCTCCTTCCTCTGACATCCCAACCTGGACAAAAACGTACATAGATGTAAGCCGTTACGACTGATTTTTTTTTTTTTCAATAAATCATGCAGTTTGACCATAATGGTACTCTGTAGTTCACTCACTTGATTGACATAAAGCGTTCCATTGTCAAACAGAGTATAGCGACGTATTCTCCTTCCTCCATTAAAGGAATCAGCCTGCAGAGCACTGTTAACAACAGTTCCATCTGGAAGGCCCCAGGAGATCTCTGGCTTTGGAGCCCCCGAGGCTTTACAATCGACTTTGAAGTCATTACCATACAGAACCTTCTTCTTGCCATGTGGCTTGTGCTCTATCTTTGCTGGCTTCATTGATACCTTGACCTTCATGAGTTGAACATCATCACCAGATATGCTTTGAGCCATACAGAGATAGTCTCCTGCATCTTTATCAATTGCAGAATTGATGATCAGAGTACCATTTTTCAAAACCTGGAATCTGCTGCCCATCCTAAGAAAAGAAAGTGGAATTAGAGAGGAAGGAAAAGCAGTTGTAAACAATCCCATCATTTACTTGCGTTTCCTACTTCCCTGATTGCATGTTATAAACATTTTTTGCATGTATTAGTTTTACTGCACTAAAAACCAAGAGAAAGCAGACAAAATTCCTGTGATCGAGACTAAATCAAGTTCAAACAATTGAGTATGCAGTCAATAATATTCTGTATGTTACTGAGATTGGTGGCGGAATCTTACCTATGTGATTGGTCTACCACTGCATTGGATGGCAACCTCCACATAATCCTGGGTTCAGGCTCTCCATTTGCTGAGCAGTTTAGGCTGATCTGATCCCCAAAATACAACTCAGTTACATGCTGTGATGTCACCACGATTTTTGGTGCGGATTCTCTTCTCTCAACGGTCAAAGTCACCACCCTTCTCTCTGAGCCCGTGGAGCTGGTGGCAATACATTCATATTTGCCGTTGTCAATTGGAGCCAGATCCTTGATAAGGAGGGTTCCATTATCATAAACAGATATCCTTTTGTCCCAGGCAAATCTTTGCGAATTGACCAACACGCCGTCGTGCAGCACCCAGTGAATCTTGGGCTGAGGGTTACCTTGACCTGTGCAGGGCAGCCATAGGTTTTGTTTTGAAAAAGTCTTCACCTGCTGCCTTTTCTCCTCTAAGATACCTGGTGGAGCAGCAACCACGTGCAGGCGGACCGTAGCAGTATCAGCTCCAGCTAGGTTACTGGCAATGCATTTGTAATAACCTCTGTCAAAAACAGACACCTGTGTGATGATCAGAGTCCCACCAGCTGTCACCGACACCTTTCCATTTGGTGTGTTGTGCTCTCTGACTTGGGTGCGGTTTGCCAGAATCCAGGATATCGTCGGCATGGGCCGACCATCTGCCTTGCATTGAATCTCCACTGTATTTCCTGCATGAGACTTTATCTCTCTCATTTTGGGCTCTAATATACGTGAAGGGTAAGCTACCACGGAGAGAGTGACAATCAGTTTATCTGAGCCATGATTATTCTCAGCAATACAGATATACTGGCCTCGGTCCTTCGTAGTGGCATTCTGTATTGACAATGTGCCATTGCGCAACAACTCGAACTTGCCCATTCTCCCCTTGATGGTAACTGTGTTTCCTGGATGGGAGAAAGAAACAACTTAAGAAACATTCCTCTTTCAAACAACACACCAACCACCAACGCAATAACTGTGACAGTTGTGGCTCCTTGCAAATGTACAGACTCTTTAAATTGACAAGTTACCAGTTTCTTTCGGTCACTTTATCAACTTATAGAGTCTGCAATCGTTTTGTAACTTCTGATTTACTATGATGCCAAGATGCTAAAAAATGCCACGGTGACAATTATAAACATCTTCCAACATACAATACCTGTCTATCCCTTTTATTACCTGTGCTTGTGGAGAAGCGTTTCCAGGATATGACTGGCAGTGGGTCTCCAACAGCTTCACATGGTAAAAAGGCATCTGAGTCTGTCAAAACCGTAAAACTAGCTGCATTGCCACCAAGTATTTTAGGTTTTCTGGTCATGAGCATAGTAGTTGGTTGAGTGCTGGCAACATTAGGGATGGTTGTGGCAAGGACATTTTTTACATTGTTTCTGTTGTATGTATAGATGTAGTCCTGTTCTCCTGTATATATGGTCATTGTCCCAAAAGAAACAGCTTTCTCTGTGTCCTCTTTGGCACTGGTTTCCACCGTAGGTCTGGGTCTTCTTGTAGCTGTTGTGTGACCATTCAGCGTCAGTGTCGGCGATCTGACATTATTGTGGATTCTGTTTTGAGTTGTCGCGTAAGCTTTCTCAAATGTAGGCATTGTGTTTGAGCGGATAAAAGGTGTTCTTGTAGTATAAGAAATGTCCCAGTCGACTTCTTTGGAAGCATAAGTCTGCTGCTCTGATATTCCTGCGCTTCTGTCGATTTCCCTTGATGGTGTATACATTGGAGGTTTGGAGGCACTCTTATGGGGCAATAAAGTTGTCTGGATAGTGTTTGCCATGGTTGTTTTCTTGTTGTCAAATGTATTAGCCGTGCCTATGGCATACGATTGTGTATTTTTCAGTTTCTTTGATGGTCTGTGTCCCTTAAATGGTCTTCTCCGTCCTTGGCGCCCTCTTTTTCCACCAGATCTTGGCCTGGTTGTAGGAAAATCATCTGGAAGTCTACCAGACCCATATGAAAATTCTCTCTCAGGATTTTCTCCTGGGGGTGGTTTGGTGGTAGGCGGGGAGGCAACAGTTTGTCTATGCAGTGGTACTTTAGCAGTGGTGAAGGACTTTGAGTAATAAGTTGGGCTCATTGTCGTTAGAGGCTGAGCAGTGGCCTTCAGAGTTGACAGATCAAAATCTGCAGAGAACAAATCTTCATAGTCGTCATCAAACAAACTGACTTTTATTTCTGTTGTCCTGGTTGGAAATGGAGCCTCAGATTCTGTTGGTAAGTGTGTAGTGATGGTGGGCAAAGTAGTTCGGGTTACAGCTGAAGTCTGAGGTACGGTCAATGTTTCGGTGGGGATTGGCTTTTTTCCATGTATCTTTTTGTTGCCAGCTTTGACTCTTGCCCCAAATTGTGTAGTGGGAGTGGATAGTTCCATATCTGTGGTGGGGTGGAAAAAACAAAAATACATCACTTGTTTTGTCAGTGTTACAACACAGTACTTCTGAAGTTTAAAAAAATGCTTACCTGTTCTCACTTCAATACTGTATGGTACTGTAGTATTCCGCTCAGATGGCTGTATGAGTTTATTGATAATGGATTGTATGTCACTAATTCTGTTGGGTTTAATGATTCTTCTGCGACCGTGGAACATTCTTCTGCGCCCACCTCCTCGACTCTTCTTGTGTGGGATGATATGGATTTGCTGCTTGGAGATGATGGTGGATCCTAAAGGTGGGGATTTTATTGTTTGGGTGGTATGAAAGGTTATTTCATCTTCCCTCCTCTGTGTGGTGGTGACAGCTGTGATTGTGGATTGGCTTTCTGGATCTGAGTGGACAAAAAGCTCCACCGGGTCTGTGCCATCCCTCATTGGAGTAACATTCGGATCAATGGTGAATGAGAACACCTCAGTGGACGTTTCTGGTTCTGAAGGATGTTCTCCAGAGGACTGGAGCTGAGTTTCTTGTGAATAATCTGTAACAGTTTCGAGTTTGGTAATTCTTTTGAGGGAATGAAGCTCTGTAGTTTCATCAAAACCAAAGACGCTTGAGTTGGGTGAAATCAGGTTATAAACTGTGACACCTTCTCTCTCACTCTTAACTGGGGTGTTTGTGTATATGTTCTCTTGAATTGTCATATAATCTGTTGTCAGTTTTGCTCTTTCTTGACTGAAAGTGACGTCATTGCTCTTTTTTGTGACTTCTATTGTGTCCATGTTTTCCATTTCAAATACGCTACCTTTTTGAGAGTTATCTGTAGTGGGCAAAACTGTAGCAAGTAAAATTAGATCATCAGGTACCTCACCAGAGCCAATTTCATTATTGTTTGACAAAACAGTCTTTGAGTCTTTTACTCTCTTTCTTTCTTTTGTGGTTTCTTTTGCTCCATCTTGAGCTTTCTTCATAAATTCAGCAAATTTCTTTGGATCAACTTTCCTAATTGTTGTATCAAAGACCCTATTGCCAAATCCACGTCTTTTGCTGGCTGAAAACCTCCTTTGTCCTATTTGACCCTCTGAAATACCTTTTCCCCGTGACCTCAGTCTGGGATGACGTCGATCAGAAACAAAGGTTTTAGCTTCTTGAGTATATCCATCAGATGGTTTGTAAGATGGGATGTCGCTGACCGTGCTTGTGTTGTCAGTTAAAGTTGGGTCGACCTGGCTCTCCATCTCCATGCCTGATCCGGTCTGATCAAATTCTTTGAAGACCTTAGAGCTTTCCCTTGCTGTCAGCTGAGAAACCAGGAGGTCAACTCCCAAGTGATTAGCTGCCAAACATCTATAAAATCCTTGGTCCCTCCTTGTAAAGTCCTCAATCAATAGGGTGCCATTCTCATACACCTTCTTTTTTCCTTCGGACCCGTCCAGTATTGAGTAGTCTGGGAGTATCCATTGTATTGAGGGCTTTGGACTTCCTAAACTGCTGCAATCAAAAAGAACATGTTCCCCCAGTTTCTGGGATACATGGACACCGTTGACACCTGCCTCCTCCACATCAGGAGACAAGACTGTCACTCGAAAAACCAGAATGTCAGCATCCAAGTAGTTGGTGGCAATGCAGCGGTAGAGGCCCGTGTCCGAGGCGTCTGCACCCCGCAGAGTGAGCTTTCCTTCAGCGGTGATTATGATCCTATTGTCCTCGCTGACGTAAGGGGCTCGCACCTTGATACCATCTGGTAAAATCCACTCCAACAAAGGCTTTGGTTCTCCTCGGACTTGACAGATCAACTGAACCACCCCACCTGCACAAAAAAAAAAATGTAAACGTTGTAATCAATTTTACAAATATGTGTTATGCAATGAAAGCAATCCAACACTCACCTGTTATTATAGTTTGCTCAGTTTTGGTTTCATTGTCTTTCTTTATCATGGTCCAGGAATAGTGGTCTTTCTTTGGGACGGTGTTCTCCACCCGTAGCTTGACAACAGACCGGTACTTGATATGCAGAGTAGAGAAAGTAGTTGTAGTACGGTCAAGCTGCAATTGAACCTCACCTTGCATCAGCCAAGCAGGAACGGCTTTGATTTCAGCATCAATATTTGTGTGTAGTTCATCCTCACCCGTTTTCTTTTGATTATATCGGTACACCATTTCGGGACTTTTAGTCAACAACAAACCCCTCTCAAGGGTCATGGGAAACTCACTGTAGGCTGCCAGGATTTGCCACAAATGTTGGATATGTTCATTGTCAACGTTGCATACCAAATATGTAGTTATGGTAGAAATTAGTTCAGTGATATCGTCACCCCCCTCCTCTTCCATGGTAAGTGAGAGGTTTTCAAAATTAGATGGCCTCTGGACAGTGCATGACAGGCTGGCATCATTGTGAAACTGATCTGTAAAGTTCATTTGAATGGAGCCTAGTGGGGCAATAAAGTCGCTTGGGGAAACTGGAGTGAAGTCCCCTTCATCCAAGCTGATGTTTTTCTGCTTTAGATGGGGCTGGATCCAAGGTTTGGTACAAGTGAAGGCATCACGAGGAAGAAGGGAGAGGCGGCTCTTCTGGTAAAGGGTTGGATTTTCACAAATGGGACACAGTTGGCCTCGAGGATATCTTCTGTCCCGCTTACATTTTAGCACCCCTGGAATCATTCAAATACAATTGTTAGCCTGTTGTAGAGAATGACTGACGCATACCTTTACCTTTCTTTGACTCTTACAGTCTCTCTGTATCTCGGTTACGAATTGCTGATGACCGTTTGTGACAAGCTTATTGGCCACTTCTGTCAGAGAACATAGTACACTGAAGTACACTGTTGATCAATTGATAGGTGTCATCTTGCTTTCATAATGTCAAAATATCAATAGCATTGTTGACCTGTTTAAATACCAAATCTATTTAGAATGGGAAACACTTGTTGGGACTTTAACGTTTCAGCTCCTTGTTCGAGAACAGCAAGTAGAGCAAAAATTACTGAAACATTCATCAGCTCGACAAAAGTTGAGAGACGGTCAGTTTAAGTTCACCTGTAAAAATTATATATTTACTTTGCAATTCATCCTGAAATTTCAGCCGTGAGCCAAATATCCCTAACTAGAAAAAATGCATCACACAGGCTATTCTACTCACCAGTATGCTTCTGCGTCCATAGTGGGAACCAGTTCATACGACAATCACATGCCCATCGGTTGCCATGGAGAAAGAGGTTCTCCAGTTGGCTGCACCCAGAGAAAACCTCTGCAGGCAGGGTAGTGAGGAGATTGTCAGACAGGTGGATGGTCCTCAATGAGGACAACTTGAACACTTGGCTGTGTCTCAGGGTAATAAATGTGTCTGGGTGGAGCTGTTGCAAGTGGTTTCCCTCCAGATGGACCAACTGTAGATTAGTTAGGCCGTAGAAAGCCTCTGGGTTGATGAAGTCAATGTAGTTGTGGTCCATGTGGAGTCGCTGCAGACTTTCCATGCCTTTGAATGTCTGTTTGTTGAGCTCCTTGACTTTGTTATAGGACATCTTGAGGACCTTAGAGAATACAATCAACACATTAGAGTCATTGATATATACATTTTCTATTCTGGGCAAGACGCACCTATTCTCGTTTTGGTTACTCATTTTGAGGGTTTTCACCTGTAATGATCGTAGATCCTGAAATGCTCTGTCCTCGATGCTGTGAATAAGATTGCTGTGCAGCATCAGTATTTCCAATTTCTTCAGACCCGAAAGAGCATTCTCTCGCAAGATGGTTATACTGTTGTACCTGCAAATGGAATATGATGTTCAATGGGGGCAATGTCATTAAATGTTATTATTTGTATGAAAGAAACTAGGAGATGTGGAATGGCCCTTTTGGTTTGGACTGAAAAATGAACCATACTAAAGGTTAACAGGTGTATAATTTCCTTAAAAGGGCTTCCACACAGGGACACGGGTGCTGACACGGGTACTTTCAGTTGGTTGAATAGACTCAGGTTTAGTCGAGCCTTACTTACATTGATCTCATTTGGTGGAGGATATTACAATGGAATAGCTGCACTGGTGGGGGTTAATTAGAAGAGGACTTAAGTTGAGGTTTTCTTTAGTTTTGTTTGTTTGTTGTTTTTGTACAGCAGTTTAGTTTTCTTGGTTGGTTCATACTTTGTACCAGTAGGTGGCAGTCAAGCACATTTGTTAGCCACCCACCATAAAATTCTACCAGAAGAAGAAGGGGAAGTAGGTAGCTCATTAGCAAATGAGATGAGACACGGGTGAGTACACCTCTTATCTGTTCCTCAAAGGAGACAATGAGAAGGCATAGGTCAAATTGTGCCATGACACTAAACAAAATGCATTTAATTAAAGAGTACCCACAGGTTTAAAAGGCCGTTTGAGTCTTCAAAGCTATCTTGTTGTGACGTCAGCAAATTGGGACGCACAGACAAAGTTATCTTGTACCTCCAGGTGCATCGTTTAGGTGAACTAAAGCACAGGCATGTCCCTCAAAAAATTAAGCATGTTTAGAAGCATTTTATTGATATAATTACCAACGATTCAGTCTGCTAAAGATTACAGAGAAAAGTGGAATCTCACCCAAGGTTAATTCGTTCCACAGCTGGCTGGATGTGGGCAGGCACCACGTTCAGGTAGCGAAAGGTGCAGTGCACTTCCGCGGGCACGGAGCACACGCACGAGTTGGGACAGTCGCCCCAAACGGGGGACACAGCGGCCAAGAGCAATAACAGAAAGCCCAGGGAGAGCAAACACCTCCGCAGGTAAGAGCCTCTGCAAGCGGTCATTGTGCACGGAAAACTCATTTGGCTCGTAAATTACAACCCACCTAGAGACAGGAAAGCACACTGTGGTCAGGATAACAGAGTTGACTAATTCTTTCCAAAGAGCAGTGAAATTGATGTAAAAGTTTTGAGCTGTTTGTGAAATTCAGACAGAAAATGGAGTAAATGTAGGCCAATCAAAAAAAAACCCAAAAAGCTGTACAGCTGCATTGAAAATTATTCAGGCTTATTGTAAAAAAAAACAAAAAAACTAATGTGTGGGTTTCTTGTGGGGGGGGGGGGGTTGATGTGTAAGTTTTAAAGACTAAGTGAAGCTGTAGTCAAACAGCAACAGTTGAGTAGCTACTTTCAATTGCCAGAATGAAACGGAAGCATATGAATTTAAAATTAAACGAAATGTGATCAAATAAAATCTACAGTTGGACAAATCAACCTTTTGAGTTACCTACTTTTAATTTGGCAAATTTGCAAAAATCTTAACTAAGAATGGCCATTTCTAATACACTTATTTTCATATCAAGCTGTATAAATTGCTCTTGTTTTGTTGACTCATTGAAAAAAAAGTTTAACTTTGTAAATATGACTTGCTGCCGTGGTTGAATAATGAAATGCATGCACTGCAAGTCTTCAATGTAAAAATGGTGCACACCTTGCTATATGACAAAAAAGGCACACGTTCTAATATGTTCTGCCCTGAAATTTTCTTTTCATTAGTATGCTCTTGTACATGAAAACAGCGCTCTGATGGAAATGCAGACAAGAATAATGTTATTTCACCCTCACCTGTACAAATATCTCTGTTGCCACGGTTCAAAACAAATTAGAGATCCAGTAGAATAAAGTGGTCCACTCTCAGTCCCAATAAGCCTCCAGATAGAATCCACAGAACGGCCCGCTGCATGTGGAGAGCATGTCTAAAGGAGCGCTTCAAGCCGAAACTTCTTTTTGGTCTTCTCAGCCCCCCGCACTCCCCCTTGCCTTCCCTCCTCTTTGCAACCTGCCCGAATGTAATCCTGGAGTAGCTGTGAAATATAAGGCCTGCTGGAAAAAGCACACATCTGTTGGGAGTGCTAAACCTAGCCAAAATAGTGGAGCTGCTCATCGCCGCCAAGATCATCGTATTTCACTTATCTGTTTATATTTCAAGGGAGGACTCTGAGAAGAAAACAAAAGTTTAAAATTAATTTGTTTAAAGTGACCTTTTCTTTCATTCAGCTCTTGTGTGTATTAATATTTTGTCTTAATTTTTGCTTTGCTTTTTTTAATGACAAAATAGTATCGGCAGGTGCCTCCCTTCTTCTGTCTTATAAAATATCACATAATAAATACAGTATCTCAAGTATGACGTTGACATAAAGGTTGTAATGAATCTCAACACTTGGTATCGTCACCGATACCAAGGAACCGATAACACTCGTCCTTTTGAGACAGAGTTTCCATCAAGCCAATGTCGGATCATTTTATAGAAAGAACTTTCGTGTATTTCTGACAATAGTCAGAAAAAAGTTACTCTGCAAAAGAGAACTTACACTCAGAAAAAAGAAACTTACTCACCCTGGGAATTTTAGTTTTTGTTCAAAATAAATTTTGTTAAAGTTGGAGAATAGTGCTGCTGATACAGCTGAAAGTTTTATCACATTTCACATCAGCTGATGTTGATATATAGTATAACTATTCAAAATAAGAAAAAAATAGATTAAAGATAAAACAAAACCATCCAAAGGAAAAATACCATTCATATTTCAAAATATAGGTACATCGCGGGTTACTTGTTACTTTGTTTCAAAAAAGGTAAATTATTGATGCAATTTAAGCCCGGGGGTGGGGGGGGGGATGCTCAGATTGGCAAATGTGTCCTCAAGAAAAATTCATTCATTCATTTTCCAAACCGCTTATCCTCACAAGGGTCGTGGGGGTTGCCGGAGCCTATCCCAGCTGTCTTCGGGCAGTAGGCGAGGGACACCCTGAACCAGTTGCCAGCCAATCGCAGGGCACACGGAGACGAACAACCATCCGCGCTCACACTCACACCTCGGGACAATTTTTGAGTGTTCAATCAGCCTGCCATGCATATTTTTGGAATGTGGGAGGAAACCGGAGTACCCGGAGAAAACCCACGCAATCGCGGGGAGAACATGCAAACTCCACATAGGAAGGCCGGAGCTGAAAGTGAACCCAGTACCTCTGCACTGTGAAGTCGACGTGCTAACCACTCGACTACCGGGCCGCCCCCTCAAGAAACAATTTATCAGTAACGTTCATGGCTTTATAAAGTGGTCATGTGGTCCAATGAGTCCGGACTGAGCTTTTTTTCTGGAGTGATGGGTACATCAGAGCAAGAGAAGAGCTGTCAAGCCCAGTGCCTACCCTCCAAGCCAGTTGGGGCTGCGATGTGGTTTTCGGACTTGCTAGCAGAATACTTAGGCAGGTATATATAAGTGTGGAGTTTTTCTTCTCTGGTGGCATCGTCGAAGATCACGATGCCAGACTTCATTAGTTACGGTACATAGCGAAAAGGTGCTGAGTCAAAGCATTGATTTTTTTTTTTTTTTTTTTTTTAACTCATGGATTACTCACCACAGCCACCATTTTGAGAATCTTAATATGTCTGCCCGGACTCACAATCTTTGCTAGCAGTTAAGGGAACTTTGTTCCCAAGTATCATAGTTGAATTCGATGCCACAGTGAGTACGCACTAATCATAACCTTGCTCTCATCCTTAACTTAAATGATAGTACTCAAGATGAGCGTCTTCATGCGTTTTAAACATCAGCTGTGTCATTTTCAAAATCGTTCCAACAGCTTGACTCAAGGAAACTCCTCTGAATGTTTAACATGCTTTCGACGTGTGGCTTGCTTGTGTACCGGCATACCTGAGTCACTCAGTTGTAATCTCGATCCGCGAAAGAGGACACATCAGGGTTTCATTGTTTCACAATAACCATGTATGTTTTGCCTCGCCACGAATACTTGAATACGTTCCGCATCCTCACTTTTGAATATCAATAAGTGAAGCAAATTGAACTCAACTTTGGACAGACCTGCTCAGGCACCTTAGCCTCTGCATTCTGGACCAGGGGCTCTTTTCTTTGGTTGAAAGGCACACAAGAATTCTATTTATGGACGGGATGAACTTTCAGTCAGACTGGAACCACAAAGGAATAAGCAAGGAGATCAGATAGCCTTCTCATAAACGGGTGGATGGATGATTCATGTGCATGGAATGAGGGGATAATGGGGATCTTTTATCTGTTGCTTCAGATCACTGGGAAGATTGGATGGCTCGTATGTTTGTGTCTCCACTGTTGTTTGTTCCAACATCTGGATGCCGCGTAATTTGGATGACAGTCTTCCCTTCTCAGCACCTCCTTCCTTTTGGATTCAAGGCAGTACGGAAACCCATTAAGTGCTTCAGGTCAAACGTCTTCTCCTCTTCTTACTTTGACTTGAGCTCTCACCTGCTAATGCAAACACGCTCACCCCCCCACCCCCCGTTCTCATCCTTTGCAGTCGGTTGTGATACAAGTATGAATAAATTCAATTATACAGGACTCAGGGTTTATCCCCTCGAGCCAAAGTGAATTTAATCTGCTAAAAGAACTGATTTTCCTCCTTGCCAATGTTAATTATGTTCTGGCCTCAGTGGCGTCTATAAATGAAAAGTTAAGCCTATTCTTGGGTAGCAATAAGAAGCTTGGAAGGCTGAGGAAGGAGGATGAATTGGGAATTGCATAGATTTGCAATTTTTTTTTTTCTTTTTTGGTGTATTGGTGTGTGTTGGATCGGGGAATACTATGAAGCACGGATGTGATGTTTGTTTGTTAGTCTCCTGATCACATTGCGGATTCTGGTTCAACTTCCTTTTTGGACAAGGACATTCATTCCTCTTGACTTCAATAATAAGTTGGGCAAAGGACCAGCTAGCTCTGTTGTTCTTCGAACAACAATACTCAAAATGTGGTCCGACTGTTACTTTTCCATATTTGCTTATTGTGACTCATTGCAGGAAAGTAAGTGTTCACTTTGCCTCTTTGTGTAGTCAGTTTAAAGGCCAAAGTGATGACTGAAGAAAAAGTCACACCAAGCTGGTAGGCTTTTAGGTGTACATGTGGACACATTCACTTAACTCGCCGTCGAGGTGTAGCATTGCGCGACATCACACTGAGGGGTGAATCTGATACTTTACAAGAAGGTAAGCAAAAATATTAATATTGTCGCTCGTGCTACACCACTGAATTCTGGATCGATGCCCTTGGACTGGATCGTGTAGAATGTTCCAGCAGATGAGTGTATAAATTTTTTAATAATAATAATAATAATACATTTTTTTTGTAAGCTCCTTTCACAGCACTCAAGGACACTTTACAACCAAGAGCAAACAATAAAACCACAGATAAAATTATAAATAAAAGAAGAGATAGATTTAAGTTGAATATGCAAGTCTGAATAGGTGGGTTTTGAATGTGGGAAGTGAGTCAATATTACGAATACTGGGTGGAAGTGAGTTCCAGAGTTTTTTCTCGCTACTTGGTGCAGTCTTGAGTCTTTAAATGAAGGGGCACCAGTGTTGGAGAAGGATATCATCTTACATGAGAAGCCCCCTCAACATCCTCTGCCTTTTTCCACTTTTGTGGGAATCTGTCCTAATCATTAAATTTCCCTTGTTTTGCATGTGGTCAGTCTCACAGTAGCTGATTTCAATTTTCTACATTCTCGACCCAAACCCATCGAAAAGCTGTTTAAAAAGAGGGAGGTTGCAAAAAGGCTCAGATGTTCTGTAGCCCCCTCAGATGAATGCCACATGGCAGAATTGATGAATTCATCTTTGTTGCCTGTCATTAATCTGGCATTTTGCTGTATCCTCACAAGGGTGGCGGGGCGTGCTGGAGCTCATCCCAGCCGTCTTCGGGCAGTAGGCGGGGGACACCCTGAACCGGTTGCCAGCCAATCGCAGCGCACGAACAACCATCCGAGCTCACATTCACACCTAGGGACAATTTCGAATGTTCCATTAACCTGCCATGCATGTTTTTTCGAATGTGGGAGGAAACCGGAATATCCGGAGAAAACCCACGCAGGCATGGGGAGAACATGAAAACTCCACACAGGAAGGCTGGAGCCGAAATCAAACCCTGCACCCCTCTGCACTGAGAGGTCTACGCGCTAACCACTAGACCACTGGGCCGCCGTCATACAGAATATCCAATAAATTCATAATGTCCAGAAACCCTTTCATTGTATTAAAATTTCATCAGGAATCTGGACAAAAAAGTCAACCTAAGCTGCAGTCGATATGAATATTCATTACGCATAGGAAGCCTTTACATTTACCCACTGATCAGTTCAGAGACTTCTGCAGGGCTACAGAAACCGGAATTTGCTCTTATTTTTACTCTGAGACATTATTGGCGCACTAAACTCACACCTGGCCCTTTTGGCATTGACCCCTTCCTGCTTATATATATATATAAATGGGTCATCCATGTCAGTGTGTGTAAATCGTGGTGGTTCTACAACAGCCACGTCATGTTCACCGCCACTACGTGGGCTCTGCAGCCTGCTGCTAAACGAAGTCCAGTGGTTTGAGGCATTTGGAGTATTGTCTATTTTACTCCTCCACACTGTGCACGGAAACCAGATGGCTGTCACCTGTTTGACGGATTGTCCGCAATACCTCTCATCATGCCAGAAATATTGTGAACCAAAGTGGCCAGAATTTTGATAAATGAATTTGTTCTTTTTGTTCCAAGGTTTTTAAAGAGAAGATCTTTGTTCCAGTGAGGAAAATTGATATCACTAGCATTGCCGACCAAATGTAGGCTTTCGCTCTTTTCAAGCAACAACATCAAGCAACAACATCAAGCTCCTCACGTGACAGAACATCTTACATGTATCAATTAAAACCCCGTGACTCATGAGGACCTTTTTCATTGTACTAGTTCTACCTGGAGA